GGGGGCTGGGGCCCACAGGCAGCTCCCACCACATGACAATGGACACAGAATGGACAGGACCCCATGGGTGCAAGCCCTAGGAAAACTAAGCACCTCCCAGGGTATCCCTACTTCTAAGACTCTGGGAAATGCACATGCAGAGTTTAATTAACTTTATTGATATTCAGAAATTAGGGGACTGACTAGAGGTAATTGCTCATTAGAAATCATTAAACTGACACAGTAAGCACTAACCTCCCTTGGGGGAAACCTGTCCTGCCCAGGGCCCTCCTCCCAGGACAGAGCCAGCAACACAGACCCCCCTCCAGCTTCACAGCCCCTCTGGCAGGGCAGGAGATGGGGGTGCTGTGGCGTTGCCCCACTTGCTGCCCGCATCCACCCCCTCTCACAAGGAAGAAGGCTGTGGCAGCAGCCCCAGGTGGCACAGTGAGCTGGGAATAGCAGCGGGCGCAGGGCCACGGCGCCCTTCCCCGGCTGGGCTCCGTTGCCAGATGGGGAGTTTATGTAACTCCCCGCACGGCTGCTGCCTGCAGCCGGTGCCCGCATCCTGCATCCAGCATCCCGCATCCCACCGGGGCCAGCGGGGCTGGACCATGACCCGCCCATCGCCCCGGGTATGGTCACAGTGGTCCGGGGCACCCCAATCCCTGACAAATCTCCCCAAGACTCAGAGGATCCCTAATCCTATTTTTGGGGCAGTGGAGCCATGAGGCATCGAGGCTGCCGGTGCCCCATGGGTGACAGAGCCAGGGAGCCGAGCTGGGTGTTGGCTGCTCTCCTTGGGAAGGACCAACACCAGCTATCCCCATGTCCCCCGCGCCCCTCCCAGAGACGGAGGGGTCACCCCAACAGAGGAGGGGGAGGAAGAGCCAAGTGCCCCCAGTGCCCCGTGGTGGGGACTGTACGGAGAGACCGGCTCACGGCGCAGCCAGATGGAGGGCGGCTCGAAGGGCTCGGTGACCGCGGGCACGGGTCCCGCCGGGCGCTGCCGCGCCTGTCAAGCCCCCGGTGCCGCGGTGCACTCCCCATCGCCGGTAATACCGGGGGCGGCGTTGCACCAGCCCGGCTGCAAACCGCTCTGCGCCTCCCCGGTGCGGGTGATGGGGCGGATAACGGGATTTGAGGGGGAGGGCTGGGATTCTCGGTTCGCCCTGGGGGGGCTCGCGGAGCGCCCCCGCCGCACCGGGGGGCGAGCGCGAGTTGGCAAAGTTTGGCGGCGACGGAGAGGGGTTGAAGCCATCGGTACCGGGGGGGGTGGGGTGGTCGGTGTGCATGGCGGGGGGCGACCGGGGCGGGTGGGGGTATCGGGCGGCGCTTACCGTGTGCCGGGGCGCGGAGCAGCGCGGCGAGGAGCGGCAGGAGGAGGGCGGGCGGCGGGCCCATGGCCGGCGGCGGTCGGTCAGCACCGCGGACAGCTCCGCTGCGGGCGCGGCGGCGGCGGCGGCGGCGCCCCGAGCGGCGCCCGCCGATACCGGGGACGGCGGGGGGGCCGTAATGCTCCGAGCGCGGCGCACGCCAATCCCGCCGATGGAAGGGGGGGCTCTCCCCGCCTCTCCCTCACCGCCCCCGCCGCCCCGCCGTAGTTCTCCGAGCGCGGCGCACACCAATCTCGTCGATGGAGAAGGGGGGGCTCTTCCCGCCTCTCCCTCACCCCCCACCCCCGCCGTAATGCTTCGAGCACGGCGCTCTCCAATCCCGGGGACGGGGGGGTGGCCGTAACGTTCCAAGTGAGGCTCTCGCCAGTGTCAGGGACAAGGGGGGAGCGGGGAGCGCCTCTCCACCTCCCCCCGCCGCCGTAACTCTCCGAGCGCGGCGCCCTCCAATCCCACAGGCCGAAGGGGGGGTGCTCCTCCCTGCCACCCCACCCCCACGCCGTAACTCTCCGAGTGCGGCGCCTCAAAATGCTGGGAGATGAAGGATGGGGGAGGGGGATCTCTTACTTCCCCCAGCCCCGAACCCCGGGCTAGGAGCCACCGAGGGCTGTGGGAACGGTCCTCAGTGCCCACCTCATCATATCCTGCCTTCCCGCCATGCTGCACCCTCCAGGAGGCTCATCACAACTCCACACACCCTCCCCACAGCTGCTCTCCCCCAACCCTAAATAGCTCAAATTAGGGCTTGGCTCATCATCCCCCCAAGCAGAAACACCTGGATGCGGGGCAGCCCCCACAACACAGAGGGGAACCCCTTTCCTTAAAATGGGGGTGCAACACCCCCTCCCCAGCCCCCTGCCTCGGGGGCCCGGGGGACAGGCAGCCCTGCAGTGGGCAGATGGCGTTGGCACTGGCACCGAGCAGCTCCACGCTGGCTGATGGACGGCTCTTGCGGGTGTTAAAAATATGAAAAACCAGCTCTTTGTTTAATAACCCACCCCCCCTCATCCCTGCAAAAGCCCAGATGGCTTCGCCTCGCTGGCCGGCCCCACCATACACGCAGCCCACGCAGCCAGCACCGCTGGGGGTTTATTTTTAATCCCAGTTCCTGCTTTGCTGACACACATCATTCCTGTCACGGAGAACGGCAAACCACGTGCCACACAGATTGGCATGGGGACGAAAGGGCAGTGACCAGGCCCATGGCATGGGCTGTGTGCCACCAGCCCCATGGCTGCAGTGGGAATGGAGCTGGCAGTGATGCCACAGCATCCTTCTCATCCCAGGGTGCTGCCGGTTCTCCCACAAAGCACTTTCAGCTCTAAACCCAAAACTTTGATCCGCCGGTAGCTCCATTAATGTTTAATGCAGCAAAGCCCTGGTAGGGCTCAGAAGATGAGCATTTTGAGGCCAAATTGAAGTTTCTAATATTATGATATTCAAATAATTTTAATCCACCCGATGCTTCCCCAGGCAGGTACCCGGACTGCTAATGAGGGGCTTCCTTCAGAGGCTGTTGGTTTTGACAAAAAACAAACAATCCTTTGCAGGTGCTATCAAAGCATCAGGAACGGTGAGGAAAATGGGGCCGAAAATGGGGCCAAACAATCCTGGAGCCAGCGTGCTGTGGCTGGGCAGGAAGGATGCCATGGTTCCCTCAGCTCCCTGGGGAACGATGTTGCTCCCTAATTCTTTTTTAAGTGCTGATTTGTGCTTGACAGAGTATGAGACCAGCACAGTTGAATGATTGGGAAGCTTCAGCTGCCATCCCACAGTATCACTGGGTGCAATGGGTGCAGTGGGTGCAGAGTTCAGCACCTACCAAGCCACATCCTGGCCTTGGCCAAAGTTCCTCATTCCCCCTTTCCCCAGCTCCACATGGATCAGGGGGCTCCTGCAGCCTGTGCCAGGCAGTTCTCCAAACCCCCATCTCCCCCTCCCCATGCTGTTGCTGGTCCCAAGTTTCCCCATCCATCCACACAGCCCACACAGGGAATATTTCATTTTTACTGAGCTCTCCTGACCCGCACCGGCTGCTTAGGGAAATGGATTTCTTGCTGCCATGAGCATTGCTTCCAGTTAATATAAACACAGGGGAAAAGGACATGGCAGGGAAGATGGAGATCCTGGCACAGGGCTGGTGGGACACCACACAAATTCAGGCAAGATGAGGTCATGCAGCTGCTTTTTGGGGTCTGGGGTTGCAGATCTCCCAGATACTTGGGATCAGCCCTGGTTGGGTCACCCATGCAGTGAAAGCAATGGCTTGAGGGGTCCCACAGATCCCTGGGGATGGTCGTCAACACCACATCCATGGTCCTCCCAGCTCTGTAGCATCATGAGCGAGGCTTTTCTATTCATTCCATTAACACAGCACTAACGGGAGAGGAGTTCATTTTTACCATTTAACGTTTCACGGATAATTAATTATTCCTCATCTTTCCAGCGAGAAAGCAAGAGCAGGTAGAGGGGCTATTCAAAGCGAATAAAGTGAGCTGAAACCTTGGGAAATTGGTGAATTATTTGTAACATCAAAGGCGAGCGAGGATGTGCTGATTTAACAGTGCTCTGTGCGATGCAGAGCCCTGGGCATCGCGGCGGTGCCGAGACTGGGACACGCTCATTGCAGCAGTGGTTGGGGGCAGCAGGGCAGATGAGGGGTCTGGGGGGGAACCCCAACCCTTACTCGTGCTCCCCATCCTCCTCCTCTCACCTCCCCGTCTCTGTGAGCTGCCTTTGCACCGTGCCTGGGTGTTCCCATGACCTGGTGGGGGCCTCCAGTGCTTTCCAAATCTTCATTCATCACCAGAGGCAAGTGGCAAAATAAATAATGATATTTAACGTTTCGTAATAATGACGATTAACCAGTAAATAATGCCTTTTACACCACAGAAGCTAGAGTAAATTAATTCCCCTAATTAGCTGTCAGGCAGCATGGGGCAGTGTTGGCAGCGGACAAAGCCGGCAGCCTCTGCCTGCATTATCCCCCACCCTGAGGCATCACTGAATGTCCCCAAACCCCAAATCACACCCTAAAATTTTGCAGAGTTGCAAAATCCACTACTGCCAGTGGGACACAGGGTTCTGTGCCACTTCCTGGCAGCTCTGGTGAGCTCTAAATCACCCCTATCTCCTGTTTAAAAAAAAACAAAACAAAACAAAACAAAACAAAACAAAACCCAAAACAAACAAGCAAACAAAAAACCAAGAAAAGATGGCAACAAAATGGTTTATGGCTGTAATAAATTGTGCTGGGGGAAAAAAGGAACCCTATTTTCCTGGAAGCAAGCGGGGGTTTCCCATTGGCACACAGACAGGAGGGTTACCAAGGCCCGCATCCCACTGCAGCCAGAGCCAGCAGTGACCGGTGGAGAGAGAAAGGGGGGTTTATTAGAAGGAATTTTCCGTCACAGTTATCTCACCCACTTGCTCTGATCAGATGAGCTCCCTACCCTGGTGGGACCAGATGTCAGTGTTGGTGGGGGAATGGGAATGCTTCTGCCTGGCCAGCCCCAAGGGGTGGGAAGGATTTGGGCCTTGTGTGCCCTTGTGATCCCATAGGGCTGGACGGTTGCCAAGGCTCCACCACCCGCTCGGCTTGGCTGGACTCTGCCCCGTTCCTCCCCTTGGATCAGCTCCCGGCTGCTGGAGGGGACAGGAACAGGGACGGGGACCAGGACGAGGACAGACATGGCTGCCCCAAGACAGCCCCAGAAGGCCACCTATGATGCCATCGTCATCGGGGCTGGCATCCAGGGCTCTTTCACTGCTTACCACCTGGCCCAGCGCCACAGGGACACTCTGCTGCTGGAACAGGTACAGGTGACCCCATTCTGCCACGTTCCCAGTCCCCACAGGCTGGGCCTGCAGACCTGGCTGCCCTCTGGCTGCTCTCTGCCACAGCACAGAGTGGAGCTGCTGCTGGCACCACAGCCCCCAGAGCCAGGATCCCCATGTCCCCACTGCCAAGACCCCCATCTCCTGCTTTTTCTGGTGCCCTGGGTGTCAGGACAGGCTGTGTCCCCAGGTTCCCACTGCAGCACAGCACCGGTGCACGTGGGGCTGGTGGGGTTGGAGGTGGGGTGGCATCTGCAGTCACTACCATGTCCCCTCTCCCCCACAGTTCATCCTGCCCCACTCGAGGGGCAGCTCGCACGGGCAGAGCCGCATCATCCGCAGAGTCTACCCCCAGGAGCGCTACTCCCGCATGATGCCCGACTGCTTCCGCCTCTGGCAGCAGCTGGAGGCTGAGGTCGGCACCCGCCTCTACAGGTGACAGGGACGGGGACGCAGCCCCCACTGGGCATCATCCCCTCCCTGATGAACTCGGGTCTGTGGCCACTGGGTGGCATGTGGCCGCCCTGACAGGCAGCTGCCGGCTCTGGGTAATTTATGGGGCTCCATAAAGATAATGTCATTAAGGAAATGAGCTTCCAAATGATCCTCCGGTGCCGGGGTCAGGGCTGATGGCGCTCACTGTATTTGAGGGGGGAGCACGATGCTGGCACCCAGATTCTCCCCATGCATCACCCCACACATCCAGACTGTATCTCCCACCATGGGGTGCCCCAGCATGTCCCAAGCATTGCTGGTGGCACTGTGCCTCAGTTTCCCCCAGGGGTAAAGCAAGCAGAGGGTCTGCACAGGGAGGGGGAGCAGTGGGAACTGACTTAACCGGTGGGGTGCAGGCAAACAGGACTGGTGGTGCTGGGGCCAGCGGGAGATCCGGAGCTGGAGGGCTGTCGGCGCAGTCTGGGTGATGGTCAGGTCCTCGACGCTGCGGCGCTGGCCCGGCAATTCCCTGGCTTTCGGCTCCAGGCTGGTGAGGTGGCCGTGTTGGACAGCACTGCCGGGGTTCTCTTCGCTGACCGGGCACTGAGGGCAGTGCAGGTGAGTGCTGCTGAGGGGACGGGATGGAATATGTGGACAGGATGGGCTGGGCTGGGCTGGGGGTCCCTTGGCTCCATCCCTGCAGCCACGTCCCGTTACCGTTCCCACTCAGGAGGTCTTTTGCCGACACGGGGGCACCGTGCGGGATGGGGAGAAGGTGCTGCGCATTGAACCTGGGGCCGTGGTCACCGTCACCACCACAGGTGGGGTGTACCAAGCCCCCCGGCTCATCATCACGGCCGGAGCCTGGACAGGTCCCCTCGTGGAATCCCTGGGTCTCCGCCTGCCGCTGCAGGTAAGGGTCGGTGTCAGGGTGGGGTGGCACAGACACAGCCAGAGCTAATGCCGTGACCGCAGCCCCTGCGCATCAACGTGTGTTACTGGAGGGAGAAGGAGCCTAAGAGCGCCAACATGGGCAGTGTCAGTCCCTGCTTCCTGACCCTGGGGCTGAGCCAAGCCCCACATGGCATCTACGGGCTGCCCGCCCTCGAGTACCCAGGGATGGTCAAGGTGAGCAGGTCACAGTGGTGGTTGGGGGGGGGATCCCTTAACCAGTCCACACTGACCAGATATCTCCCAGGTGTGCCGCCACCATGGCAGCCCCACTGACCCTGACAAGCGGGATCAGGACACCTCAGGTGCCGACCGCCCCGACATCGGCCTCCTGAGCAGCTTCATCAGCAGCTATCTGCCCGGGCTGGAGACACAGCCGGCCGTGATGGAGACCTGCCTCTACACGGTGAGATCCCCCCCAGGGCATGGATCCAAGCCTCTGGGGTCCTGAGCCCACCCCCACACCAAGGCAGACCTTGCCACCCCTTTGTCCCCCACACCTTGGGTCCAGGATTGGACTCTTGGCCCCTCACCCTCACACCATGGCTCCCCCAGAACACTCCAGATGGAGACTTCATCCTGGACCGGCACCCCAAGTTCAGCAACATCATCATTGGTGCCGGTTTCTCAGGTAGGAGAGGGCACCCACCCCCCAAACCAGCACCCCAGAGCTGAGGGTGGCTGTGTCCCCCACCTTCCCTCTCCTTCCTGCAGGCCATGGGTTCAAGCTGGCACCAGTGGTGGGGAAGTTGCTGTGTGAGCTGAGCCTGGGAGAGGAGCCATCCTACAACATGGCCCCCTTCGCCATCACTCGCTTCCCTGATGTGCTCCAGGCTGCGCTGTAGGTGTGGGGCTCCAGATGTGACCCCATGGCACTGCACCAGACTGCAGCTGTGTCCCTGCATCCCACTGACCTTACTCCCCAGTGGGCCTGCATCAATACCTGTCTCCATCTCCCTGCACCCTGGCATCCCAACATGCTACTCTCCTCCAACCATAGCTACCCTTCATCCCCACATCCCTATATTCCATCACATCACCCAGCATCCTGGCACCAATCCATCCCAGCAGCCCTCCATCTGTGCACCCCAGCACCACTGCACTTCCACATCCCAGAACCTGGGTATCCCCATACTCCTGCATCCCTGCTACCTGCATCCCAGCATCCCTGCATCCCTATACCCTGCCTCCCCACATTCCAGCATCCCCATCTCCCTGCATCCCAGCATCCCCCATGCCACTCGGTGCCAAGCCGTCTCTACCAACCACCCCGCTCCCTGGGAACAAATTAAGGAGCTTTGTCAGCCTCATGAAGATGGAGCTGGAGCAGCGCAGAGAGACACACTCGCTTAGGAGTCAAGTTAAATGTTTTAATGTTAAATGTGCCATTTTATTATCATTAGATCGCTCCCACTTAATGAAAGCGCATTAGCGCAGCGTGGCTTTATGGCAGCGAGCACCGAGCTTGGCCTGTGTTTTACCAAGAGATGCTGGGGAAAGGGATCAAATAACCTGGTTTGCCAAGGTCCCAGGAGTGGGGGTGTGTCTCAGAGGGTCCCTGGGGCCGGGTGCAGGGGACAGCACGTGGCACAGGCCGGCGGGTGCCAGGGCCAAGCCGTGCAGGCGGCCAGCAATGCACATCATCATCATCTCTGCGTTAAATAATTAACGCCGGCAGGCAGCGGATCTGTCCCACTGCTCATCTGCATATTTATGAAGATTGATAAATGATTCATTGCCAGCACCCACAAGGGCTGTCCCTCCCCCCCTACCCTCCCCAGCACCCATGGGTGCAGCAGGCTCAGGGAAGGGGCCAGGCTTGGCCCTTCCATATAGCCCTGCATCCTTGCCAGGGCTGGATCCATTCCACCAGACCTTGCCACCACGCAAACACCCCTGCAGAATGGGGAGACCCCCCCCGGCACATGGAGCAGGCAGCAGCCGGTGTCACCAGCCAGAAATGATGTTTATTTTCATACTGAAAGTAAAGGGGGTGTGGTGGGATGCACAGCTGAGCTAGTGCAAAACAGCCAGGCAGGAGTGGGGGGCTGGGGGGGCTGTTGAAAACCCCAGTGGACACGTGGGACCCCGTCCCCACATCCCCTTCCCGGCTGCCAGGCGGCTGCTCCCCAGGGCCCGGCCAGCGAGAGACGTCTTTGGCTCAACTAAAAGGGGCGTAAGAGGAGGGGGAGTTTAAGTTATAAAATAAGGAGCCAGCAGGCACTGAGGAATGAATCCAGGGTGCCGGAGCAGCCGACTCCACCGCCAAGGACAGATAGGAGGTGGGAAGGTGGGGGGTGCAGCCAGCGAGCCGGCCGGGCTGCTCCCCCCATGGCCGGGGGGAGGCTGAGTGTGTCCCCCCCACCCCACACAGAAGAAATACCGGCTGCCCGGGGCAGCCCCGTGGAGCTGAGTGTTCCTGGGGCGTTGGGAAGTGGTGATGGGGGGCTAGGCAGGGGTCTCAGCAGCCCTGCTCTCCGCCTCGCTGGCACTGGGGGAGCTGCGGGAGGAGCGGCGTGTGCTGTCCCCGGCGTCCTGCTCCTCGTCCCATCTGTCATAGGTGAAGGTGTGCCGGGAGCTCGTGGGGCTGTGGGAGAGAGCGGGGTTAGTGAGGGTCCCAGGGGGCTCCAAGCCCAGCATGGCTCGGGCACAGAGCACAACTCCCCTCCGGCTGCAGCGGGAGCTGTGGTGAGCCAGCACACTGGCAGCCAGCTGGATGGAGCCTTGATTGCCTCCTTTTTTATTATTTCCGAGATATTTGTGGCATGCTCCACTGCAAACAGCTCCTCGCTGCGCTGAGCCGAGCCCCTGCTCTGAGGTGGGGCTGAGCTGAGCCTGCCCAGGGGCTGCCAACCCCATGGGCACCCAGAGCCCCGCACTCAGGAAAAGGCTCGGGGCCCTGGATGCTGAAACCAGCACTCATGGACATCCCTGCCTGAGGTACCTGGTCGTACCTGAGCCCAGGGCTGGCTGCTGGGGATGTTTCTCCCCTCTGCCCCCTGTGATGCCTTCCCTAGCCCCAGGAAAGGCAGCCCAATGGCAACCACATTTCCAAAAGGCTTCCTTCACTTCCTCCAACCATTCTCCTGTTCAAACCATCAGAAAGGATGGAACCTGCTTGGAAATCACTGCCAGAGAGCCCCAGCACGCCCTCTCCTCTGCACCAAACAGGGTGCGAAGACCCAAAGTCCTGCAGGCTTAGACTGTTCACACCCCAAATTCCCATCAGAGGCACCTGACAGGACACAGGACAGCAACTCTGAGCTCCAACTGCCCATCCCAGATCACCCTCCCAGATGCTGCCTCCCCCCACGGTCACACACTGCGGTGGGTGCGTGTTAGTATCCGTCACACTCCTGCCCACTCCCAGGGTGAGCGGGATGCTGTGCTGCCCAAAACCCCCTAAATTTCCTGAAGGAATAAATCCAGTTGTGTCCTGCCTGGTGGCTGGGGAGCCAGGAAGGGATTGGCGCTTCCTGGTGCCCCACAGACACTAATCCTGAACACGCTGCGTCCTGGCAGCCTGGGCAGTGCCGGTCCCGCTGCGGCCACACTGGGAATCTCCCCACGGATGGAGATGCATTCCGGATGCCCTGCAGCACCCCAAAAGCAGGGCTGCTGCAGGCACAGAGGGGAACACCATCCCGGCAGAGGTGGACTCAGTGTCCGACTCAGGAGAGGGTTAGGGCGAGCGGTTAGTGGCACACAGGGAGGTTCATGCTGCACGGCACACCCCGCTCCCACCTCCTGCCTCAGTCGCTCTCGGGCCGATACAGGTACTTCATCATCAGGCTGTCCACCTGCTTCTTCCGCTGCTTCTCCTCCTTCTTGCCCCGGGCAGGACGTGTCGGCTCCTCAACGCCCGTTGCCCGTGGGCCCTTCTTGACACTGGAAGTGCTGCGGTAGGAGCTGGTGGAGCCAGAGGAGGACTCGGAGGAGGAACTGGAGTCAGATGATGACTCCTGCTTCTTCTTCTTCTTCTTGGATTTCTTCTTGGATTTCTTGGCGCGCTTCTTGGCGCTCTTCTTCTTCCGCTCCTCCTCTTCCTCAGAGGAGCCTGAGCTGCTGCGGCACCGGCAGGTGTGCCGGGAGAAGTCGAGGGCGGATGCGGAGCGGCGCAGGCTGCCAGAGGGGCGATCGGCAGCGCCCAGGGGGGCCGCGCTCCGGACACTCCGCACACTCCGGCCATCATCCCCTGAGTCGGCATCGGGGCTGGAGCAGCCCCTGGACCGCAGCGGGCGGTAGCTCAGCACCTCCTGGATGGCAGCATCCAGGTCGGGGTCAAGGTAGGAGCGGCGCCCCACGGGGCGGGCGTCCCCAGGGCCCTCCTCCTCCGAGGCTGCACTGCGGGGCCGCGGGGGCACAGAGAGGCTGCGCCCCAAGAGGGGCTGCCCACGGGAGCCGTCGTCCGCCTCATCCAGGCGGCTGCGGGCCAGGGAGAGCCGTGATTCGGGACGACCCTCAGGCCCCCCGCGCCTGCTCCGCAAGCTCCCGGGGCTGGAGAGGGCGAAGCTCAGCACTGAGCACCCCTCGTCCCCATCATCCCCATCCTCCAGCCCGCGCCAGGAGGTGGAAGACACTCGGCTCACTGGGGCAGAGGCAACAGAAGCTTTCTCGACGTCGGTGGCCGAGAGGGACCATCGCTTGTCCAGCCCTTGCCGAGCCCGACCGCTGGCGTCGGCGAAGGCGCGGGCGATGACAGCCGCCCGGTCCTCGGGCTCGCCGCCGCGGGCCTTCCTGCGCGCCGGGCGCTCTGGGGACGGCGGCCGCTCGCCCAGAGCGCTGAACAGCGTCTGCTCATCCCCGCGGCCGCCTATGGAGTCCTTGAGGCCCGGCCGCTTCCTGTAGCTGAGGGAGCTCAACACCGACACCGGGCGCTCCTCGGCCTCAGGACCATCCGGGGGTGCTGACCTGCACCGCGGCACCGCGGCCCCGCACGCACCGGGGAGACAAGAGAGAGATGGAGATGAGCGGGCGAGGGGGGGGACCAGAGAGGCGGCCTCGGCAATTTGCGTCAGCGAGAAATGGCATCGTGGAAAAATGTCGTGTAAATGTGGGAATTGTTCTAGCCCAGCACTTTGATTCGCCTTTAAAGTGTTGCCTTCAATTTATTTCATTGTCGGCTACCTGGAGCCGCTGCGTTTGATTCCTGACTTCAGAAAAGGTGGAATTATCTCCAATAACAAAATGTTTTACATCTGCACCGCTGAATAAATTAAACCAATTAACAGAAACCAGCTCAGATCTTTCCCCCCTGCTCGGCAGAGGGAGGGAGTCCCCTGGGACTCCTGGAGCCCTGATAGGAAATTGGGTTTGGATAAAAGCAATCTGTGCTCAGCAGGCAAGCAATTTTCATGGAGAATGGAGGGGGGGATATGTGCCCCAGCCCCACGCTGTGGGGGCACCTGGGCATGTCCCCCACCTCTACTGTCATTTTCTCAGAGGTGTGGGAAGGGATGTAGTGGGCCTGCAGAGGAGGGCAGAATGGAGCAGGGAATCAGTCCTGGAATGACGGAATGCTGCACACAGCTAGAGCTCACCACTGTGAGCCCTGGGGAGGCAAATGGGGTGGGAAGTGTGGGTGCCCTTGTGCCTCTAGGATGGGATGAGGGAAGGGGGACCAGAGAGGTCTCCTTAGGTTGAAGGACACCTGTCCCCAGTGGAGACCAAGCTGCTCATCAGCATTAACCCTTCCCTGGCCAACCACACGACCACACAGGCGGGAACACGGCACCGAGCTCCACATCCCACGGGTGCCCACACAGCTCAGCCCATCCTCTGCCCCATACCCAGCCCTGCACCCACCTGCTGCCCTTCAGGCTGCCGTCATCAGAGAGCGCTTTGGAGGAGCCTTTGTTCTTGGAGAGCCAAGACTTCACCCCATCCACACGCTCCTCCAGCTCCGAGTCCACATCTGAGTCACCGTCACTGCCAGAGAAGCAGGTCAGGGTGGAAGAAAGCAAGAAGTGAGTATGGGGTAGTGAGATTTTGGGTGCTGGAGAGGTGAAAGTGCACTGGAAGGCACCATAGCCCCCCCAGCACCCACTGCCTATGTACCCTGGTACAGGGAAACCCCATCCCATAATGCTGCTCCATCTCTGGGGTGTAACCTGCATGCACAGAGCTCAGCCTGCATTTTAGGGTCTCCCCGAAGCACCCTGCAAACCCCCAAACCACCTCCCTGCCTGCCCAAGGGGCTCCTGCATCCTCTGCCCATCGTCCCCCCAGGGCTGGAGACAGTTGGGGCAGCAGGCAGGGCACAGCTCCAGAAACACACAGGAGATTTCCAGCCCCGGGACTCGGAAGGAAATAAGTGGGTTCGTTTTATAGGCCGCCGTCGAGTGCAGAATTACAGCGAGGAAGAGCAATGCTGATGGCCCCGGGTAAACAGGAGTTTAGCAAGCGGAACAGGAACGACTCCGGCACGGCGGGCGCAGGAGCGTGGTGGGCAGATTTACAGCCCTGCCGTGCCCGAGAGCCCCTGATTTACGTCCCCGCGTAAAAAAAGTCCTATCTGGCTTAAACCATCTAATTTATAACGGCCGTTCGTAACCATATTGATTGCCTTTAGAAAGAAGGTGCTGTCTGCATTGCAAAATCCATTTCTCCACGTTAAAAGCATCCCCGAATAAATCTCCCTTAATACCTCACCGCTTACTGCTTTCATTAGGGTTACGGCGGCACCAGTGGGATCTATACGGAAATCGAAGTGGTGTGGTCCCCTCTCCCCACCCCGCTCCCACCAAACAAGGGCTCCCACTGAGCTACTCTAGGGAAGGGATATATCATAGGATCTTAAATGGCCTTTTATCAGGCCGGTTTTGGGCTTATTCCCTGCCTGGGAACGATGGCAAGCAGCACAAGGGACAGGTTGGGATAGACCCTGTATATGAATCCTCCTCGTTAAATTCAAAGCAACGAGCCACGCTCCATCCTGCGCATCTCCCTCCCCTGCAATACATCCAGGCAACGCTGGGCTTGGGAAAAAAAAAAAACACAACAAAAAACCCCCACAGAATGACACCAAAAAAAACCCCAACGAGCCCCGAAAACAAGCTCTGGGGGCAGCTGAGGTTTTATAACCGGTGGAATTAAACTCCACATCAAACGCAGTTTATGTCCAGGCGAACGTGCCGTTAGTCAAGCAGGACCCAGGTCGTGGGAACGACCACGGATGGGGATGTTAATTAGCGGGGCTCCATCGCTGCCCCACGCTGACACGTTCATCATCAGCCATGGCAGGACATCATTCCCCACCCCATCCCGGGGGCTCATCCCATCCCCCTGCGTGGGATGCAGTTATGTGCCGTGCCGTGCTGTGCCGTGCCGTGGGTGATGTTAGGGCATGCGGAGGTGGGCCAGTGGCATGCGGGACCCCGGCCCGCGGGGGTGAGGTGGGGGTTAGGGGAGGGGAGGAAGGAAAGAGATGCTCCTCACAGTTTACTCTTTCTTTTCTGATACTTTGCCACCATGTCCTGCAAACTGGGAGGGGTTGGAGGGAGGGCAGGAGGGGGGAGAAACACAACAGAAAAGAAATCAAATGAAAATTCAAAAAAAAAAAATAAGACCAAGGGGGTGGAGAATGGATGGGGACAAATTAAACGGAGGGGAAGGGCTAGGGCAGGGAGGTGAGGCTGCCTTGCAACCCTGGAGAGGGGTTGCACCCAGGCTGGATTCCAGCACTCCAGGACGGTTGCCAGAGCATGTTCAAAGAAAGGTAACGGAGCTGAGGAAGGGTCTGGAGCACAAGACTGATAAGGATTGACTGAAGGGAGGTGGAGGGGCTCAGCCTGGAGAAAAGGAGGCTCAGGGGGAACATTTTTGCTTTCTACAACTCCCTGAAAGGAGGTTGTAGCCATGTGGGGGTCAGGCTCTGCTCCCAAGGAACAAGCGATAGGACAAGAGGACATGGCCTCAAGTTGTGCCATGGAAGGTTTAGATTGGATATTAGGGAAAATTTCTTCACCCAGAGGGTGGTCAGGCATTGGAACAGGCTGCCCAGGGAACTGGTGGAGTTACTATCCCTTGAAGTGTTCAAAAACTATGTGGATAAGGCACTTGGGACCACGCTTTAGTGGTAACATGGTAGTGCCGGGTAAATGGTTGGAGTCGGTGATCTCAGAGGTCTTTCCCAAGCTAAACAATTGTAGGAGTCTATAATTCTATCCCTGGGCTGGGCTGGATCCCAGCATCCCAAACCTCCTGCCAGCTTGTGCTGCCCTGTCTCCTGGGGCTCCCTGGGCTGTTTCCAGCCAGCTGACACAGCCCTGGATGTGTTTCAGGCACCTCCACAAGCGGGTGAAGCTCCCTGGGGCTGCGGTGGATGAGGGATGGATGCACAGGTGCAGGGACTGATGCCCGTGTGCACAGGTGCCCGATGCACGGATGGCACAGAGGTGCATGGACAGAGGCACAGGTGCACGATGCATGGACAGATGGATGGACAGCATCCTGCCAGGGTCAGGCAGAGCCGAGGGGTCCCCGTGGCATTTCCAAAGTGGCAAGGGGAAGCAGTGACCCCCAGGGACGTGCCTCGCGTGGGAGCCAGGCCCAGGTGTTCTCACCTGTTGATAAGGTCCTCGTTGCTGTCACTCTCCATCTCATCCTCGATGGCTGCCTGCAGGTCCCCGATGCGCTTGAAGGCCAGCTTCAGGTCTGACTGCAGGCTCTGGTTGGCGGCTTCCAGGCTCTCCAGGTCCATCTCCTGCAGGGAGGGAGAGGGATGAGGCAGCTACCCAAGGGAACACCCCCCTGCTCCCTGCCTGGCCCTATCACGGGTGTCTCACCAACTCGTGCTTCTTGCGGCTGGCCTCTGCCTCTTTCTTGGCCAGCTCGCCCATCTCCTCCTTGACATCACGGAGCTGTCGCTGCAGCCGCTTGTTCTGCTCCTTCTCCCGGTTCTCGGCGGCTGCGCGCTGATCCCGCTCCTCCGTCAGCTTCTCCATGTTCTCCTTCAGCCGCGTGGCCAGGCTCTGCAGAGCAGCGGGGTCACCCCAGATCCCCCCCCATGGACCCCTCATCCTGCAGGTCCACCCTCACCCCAACACCCACCAAGGGCTGATGAGACGACCTCCCGGTGATCCCATCCCCATGAATTTACGCAAGGAGACGGAGGAGAAACCACCCCCTCCCAGGGCCAGGGAAGGGGCAGAACAACAGCAAGGGCTTTGTTGAGTTGGAAAAATAGATTTAACTGTGTGTGAAGTAATTAAAACATGTAACGTAAGGAAAAAATAGCTCCCCTTCTCCCCCATCCACTGAGCCAGCCGCTGCATATTTATGGCCCCGGCAGAGAGAGCAGGGAAGGAAATAATAGCTTGGAAAATATGAAGAGGAGAGCTAAGCTGCCGCGCTCCCCGGCAGAGCTGCGGAGGCAGAATATAAAACAGGCTGCGTTCGTGGGGCCGGGAGTCTATAATTTCCCTAAGTCGATGCAGGGAAAGAGCAGCACTTTGCCGGGCCGGGTGGTGGATTACTGTTATCGGTGCTTGCAGGGAGCCTTCCCTGCGGAGACGGGGATGGGCTGCCGGAGGGGGAGGGCTGCAGCGTGGGGGGTCCTGGGGAGGGGATGCACTCAGCAGACCTCTCAGGCAGCTTCATTACGCTCCTGTTGCATCCCTGTCCCAGGCAGAGCGGAGGGAGAGCCCAGTGCCTACCTCCAGGCGCTTGACTTGCGTCCGCTCGAACTCCAGCCTGGTCTCCAGCTCGCGGATCTTGGCTTCTTGGCGGCTCACCAGTGACTTGTCCACCATGGATTGCTCCAGGAACTCCAGCTGGCTCTGCAGGCCTTGCAGCTGCAGGGGGTGGTGGGGGTACAGCCTCAGCCTCAACAATAACCTCCCTGCCCCTCTGCCACGCCATCCTAGAGCAGAGCTGCTGGCCATTCCGCTCCCATCCCCTGCGACTGCTCTGTGCCCTCATGGTGCATGGTGTGGGCAGCAGGTCTCTGAGTGACCCACACCCCCCCCCTCAGCTTCACTCAGGGTGCATCCCCTGTCTGATCCCCACCTTCTCCTGCAGCTCCTGCTTCTCCTTGCTGACCTCCTCCAGCTGTGCCTGGAGGTCATTCATCTGCGCCAGGTCCCGGGATGCCTGTGGGACACACCGGGGCCGTTAGCAGGGATCCCACTGTGCTGTCTCCAAGAGGGTTGTTTTGAGGGGATGGAGTGGGCACAGCTGCTGCTCTACCTCACCTGAGCTACAGCCGCCTTGTGCTTCTTCATCAGCTCATTCATGTCTTCCTGGTCCTCCTCCAACCGACTCTGCACCTCATTCTTTTCCCGCTGCAGCCGGCTCAGCTGCTCCTCCAGCTGCAGGGAGCAACACTTGTCTCCTGCTGCAGCCCAGGAGTGGGGCACTCATCCCCCCAGATCACCCCAAACAGCACAGGGTCATGCTGATGGCACCCTGGGAGCAAGTGGGGCATGGCCCCACCACGGTGCATCTCACCCCAAACCACTCACCGCTGCCTTGGCCTTGGAGAGGTCATCGATCTGCAGATGGAGGTCCTCGATCTCCACCTCCATGGATTTGCGGGCCTTGACAGCAGCTGCGCAGGTGAACTCCGACTCCTCCAGCTGCAGGGATATAGCTCAGCACCCGGCCAGAGCACAGGGACACCCCCTGTCCCTGAAAGGCTGCGGTTTGGGGGGGTCTGGATGCACACCTGGTTCTTGAGCTGGGTGATCTCCCTCTTGCTGGGTGCGTTGTTCTTCAGGTGGTCCAGCATGATCTGAGCATCAGCCAGCAGCGCTTTCGTTCTCTTCAGGTCCCGGCGCAGGCGTTTTCCGTCTCGAAGTCCCGCTGGTTGGCCTATGGCAGGGGGAACCATGCCAGGGCTCTGTGTTGCAGGGGTGTCCACCCCCCCACAGCCACCTCAGGGTCCCCAAAGCAAGGCACGTGCCCAGCTGCCCTTCACCCCACCTGCTCGCTGACAGCAGATAACTTGCTCTCCAGCTCCCGTTTCTCTCTCAGCACCTTCTGCTTGTCCTCATACTCCTCCTCCAGCTGCACTTCCATCTGCTTCAGCTGTGGGACAGACATGGGGCAGCTGGTCAGGGCGGTGGGGAGGGGTCATGACCACCCTCCTCGTGTGTCCCCACACACTGAGGACACAGGGTCACCCCACCGGATGGGTGTTTGCGCAACCAGAGGCACAAAGCCCGGCATGCGCTGGCCCGGGCGGCAGAAGGACTGGTCGGACCCGCCGGGCCGGTGGAGCCAGGCTGTGGTCGGCTGTGTGGGAGCCGGGTGCTGCATGACAGTGCCCAGCTGGCAGCTCCCAGCACCCAGCCGGGGCATGGGGATGCATCCCAGGCCCTCCTGGGCAGAGGGGCTGCAGCTGAGCCCTACCTTCTTCTGGCACGACTGCCGGATCTCCTCCACCTCCTCGTCACGGCTCTCCACCTCCTTGGCGTGGGTCTGCCGCAGCCGCTCCATCTCCATCTCCAGCCGCAGCTTCGCCTGCAAATGGTGGGGATGTGGTCAGAGTAAAGGGGACATGGGGACCCCCCATGCCACTCCCCAGGCACCACTCACACAGAAAATGCCCCGGTCCGAGGCCGGCCGGGTCGTTCGCCCCATGGTGACCTGCCGGGCCATGGCACGGAGGGCCAGGAGCCGTGTCGGCCCGATGCCGGGCTCAGGGCGACCGCCTCCTCTTCCTGGGCAAGCCCGGCCCAGGTAATAACAGCCCTGCATGAAACCACCCCACCCAGAAACCTCGCCCCTCCCCGCTGTACCTGCTCCAGCATCTGGATGGTCCCAGCCTGCTCATCCAGTTCCTCCTCCTGGTCTTTGACCTTCGCCTCCAGGTCCCTCAGCTGTTTCTTCACCTTGGCCAGGGAGGCTTCATCCTTTGACTCCTGGGAGGAGATGTCCTGCAGCTCTGCCTCCAGCGCCTCCGCCTTCTGTGTCAGCCCTGCGATGTCCAAGTCCTTGTCCTGTGAGAGACGGGGTCACCATGAGCCCAGGGTACCTGGTGACTGTGGGACTGGGTTGGGGGCTGGGGTCCACTCACCTCTAGCAGCTGCTTGAGGCCAAAGACCTCAGCCACCAGCACATCCTTCTCGCGACTCAGCTTCTCCCGCTGCAGCCGTTCCCGCTGCGCCTCCTCGTGTGCCTGAGAGAGCTCGCTGTCAAACCTGCATGGGGAGAGCAGGGCAAGCACTCAGCACCCTGGGGACCAGTCCTCAGCCCTGTGCCAGGGACACCCTGCCAAGCATCCCCTTCCCATGGCAGCAGGAATCGGGAAGGCGGAGTGGCGTCAGATGCTTGTTTGAAACAGCCTGTTGATGAGCCTTTAATTGCTAGCACGGTGGCACGAGTCACTCCGAGAAACTCCTCCTGATGCCTTTGCTCCATGCTAATGAAGAGCACAGTAGCGACCCAGGCAGAACCATCAGCTGCTCTGTGGGGCTGGTCGTGGCTGCTAACAGCAGGGGCTTGGCTACAACGAGGCAGGGAGGGACACCAAACCCTCCAAGCAGGACTCAGAGGGGCTTCAGGACTTTGGGGGGTCTCCAGGAGAGACAGGCTCTTGCAGCAGCTCAGCTACCCCAGCTGCATCCCAGTGCCGTGGCCCCATGTGGGATGGCATAGGTCCCATCCCCAGAGGGGACACGAGCCCCTGGAGGGGACACAAACCCCTGGTGGGGGAGTGTTCAGCACAGCCTGTAGCCAGGAAGTGCTGTGGCAGCTCTCCCAGTGCCCTTGGGATGGGATCAGCCAGGTTTGCTCTGAAATCATTGCCTTTGGGGCTTGGAAAACAACCCTACACTTGAGTTTGTGACCTGCGTTAAACACCTCGGCAGCTAATCCCCGTTTTTCCTCGCACTGGGTAATAAACAGCTGCATTAGCACAGACTCCAATCCGCGGAAATTGAAATTAATTAGATTGGATTCTCTCGCTGTATTTGTGTGTGTGATCATTACCATAATGAGATGAAAGCGTCCCTGCTGCTTAATAACGTTAGCAAACTTTGGGGCTGGGAGCAGGGACGGGGTGGCAGCGCACGCCGAGCAGAGATGCAGGGCACCAGCAGCCTCCACCATGGGGCATGACCCCACACAGGGGGAATCACTCAGCACGAGGTCCCCCAAAAGGGTATGAGGATCCCCCTCACAACTAACACATCCAACCCAGGCAGGCCCATCCCGCTGGAGACACCCCAGCCAAGTAGGAACTGGTGGAGTGCCCAAATCCCTGCTAAAATGGTAATGCCACTTCGCCAGAGGCTCGCAGTGCAGTGAGGATGCCATGTCCCCCATGACCCTCCCATTCCAGCGTGCAGTCCCCACCTTCTCTGCTTCTTCTCCAGGTCATGGTTGCGTCCTTGCTGTCCCTCGAGGTGCAGCTTGGTGTCCTGCAGCTCAGCAGCCAGGCGCTGGCACTTCTTCTTCAGCTGCTGCAGCGCCCGCTGGCTCTCCTCGCTGTCTGCCTGCAGGTCGGCCAGCTGCAGGCAGGACCAGGCAGGACAGTGAGGGCTCTGGGATCCCACCACATCCCTGCTGCCCTGGCCATGGGCTCCCTCAGCTCCAAGCAGTCCAGCCCATGCTGAGGGCACCAGGGGGTCCCCAGGGCTGAGCCCACTCACCTTCCGCTCCAGCTGCCTCTTGCCCTGCTGCTCCACCTCCAGCTTGTCCTCCAGTTCTTGCTGCATCCGTTTCTTGGTGAAGTCGATCTCCCGCACTGCCCGCTCATATTTCAGCCGCCATTCGCCGCCTGTGCAGGGAAATGGGGTCACCAAGGGGCTGTGGGGTGGCGTGGGGCCACCGTGGAGAGGGGGACACTCAGTGTGTGCCAGGTGCCAGCACCGGAGGCAGGATGGTACCTGAATCATCGTCATCAAGCTCCCCGTTGAGCTCGGCCGCCCGGATGAGCCGAGCCTCCATCACCTCCATCTCCATCGACTCCATCTGCTTCTTCAGGGCATCGTACTTTGCCTGGGAGGGGACATGGCTTTTGTGAGTGCTGCAGGTGGGGGACAGGAAATGCTGTGAGGCCAAAGAGAGGTGCTTTTACCTGCAGGTCCTTCATCTCTTTCTCAGCCCGCAGCCTCTCGGCTGTCTCGGCGTCCAGCAGCTGGGAGGCCGACTCGCCGGTGTTCCGCTCGTCCGTCAGCTCCGATGTCAGCTCTGTGATCTGGGGGCAGCAAGGAAAATGGGACCATGGGCTGGGGCAGGCCAGAACAGCACCGTACCCCATCCTGGCACCAGCAAGAACCTACCCTGCTCTCCAGGCGGTCGCTGTTGAGCCTCAGCTCGTTACGCTCCTTCTCCACCTTCTCGAGTTTGCTCTTCAGCTGCTGGATCTCTTCCTGCAACAGAGCGGGCGGGTGAGGGAGGGGGCAGATGCAGGGAAGAGGTTGGCAGGCGGGAGCTTGGCAGCTCTCCGCCCTCCACAGCACCCCCCCAACGCAGGATGGGCAGGGTGGGGGCTCCCCAGGGCCGCTCTCCCCTGCCAAGGGCTGGGCAGGGACTTTCCCCAACCCGCTCCTCCGCTGTGCTGACTCCAACCCCATAAATGGTGTCGAAATGCCAGGCAGTCCCAGAAAAGCTGGAGAGGGGTCCCCACATCCCCTGGGAGAGGGGGTGGGAGCAAACCCACCCATCAGCAGCTCACTGAAGGATTTGGGTGCACTCAGCCCAGGTGAGGACAGAAGGGGCCCCCCAGGATGCCTGGGGCCCATCAGCCAACTCTGGGGAGGCGTGTCTGGCTGCCAGCATCTTCCTCTTCCCTCCTCTGGTCCTAGTACAGGCTGGGGGGGGCAGGAGGGGCCCCAAGTGCCCCCACCCAGGCACCCGTCCTCAGTGGGTCGGGGTGAAAGCTGAGCCAGGCGGCGGCTCCGTGCCGAGCGGGCTCGGCGGGTGCACCAGTGTCTGGTTGCCAGCGTGAGCGGAGCCCCTGCATATGCCTCTCGGCACACGGTTTCATTTCCATTCTCCACGCTTGTAATTGGGCTCATGCAACAGCCGGCTCTCGGGATGCTAATGACATGCTGATTCGCAAATTAGGGAGCAATTCGAGCCTGGCGCTGACGGGGTGCGTGCAGACGTGGTCCTGAATCTCACCCCGTCATGGGCTCCTGCATCCCACCCCACTGTGGGGTCCTGTATCCCAATCCACCACAGGATCCTGTATCCCACCCTTCCCTGGGTTCTGCATCCCACCTCACTGCAGAATATCGCCTCCCACCCTGCCACAGGATCCTGCATTCCACCCCACTGTTAGCTCCTGCATCTGACCCCACCATGGGGTCCTGCATCCCACCCCACTGTGGGGCCCAGGGCCAACAATTCCTCCAGCCCTCCCTGCTCCATCCAACACCCTCAGCACAGATACTCACGTCTTTGCCACGGATCTGGTCCTCGGTGAGCTGCACCTCGATGAGGGGCCGCACAGTGGTGAAGAGCTTCCACCACGGCCAGTCCTTCACCCCCTTGTTCTTCTTGATGTTCTTCTGCACGCACCGGATGGCCAAATCCTGGATCTGTGCAGGGCACGGGGTCAGCACAGGGTATGGGGTCAGCACAGGGTGCTGCCAGCAGGGCAAAGCGGGGCGGGTGGGCACTCAGCACCCCCACCAGCACCCCAGCATGCTCCCCTTTGTTAGCATGCGGGCTAATTGCACCGGTGTATCTTCTGTTTGATCCTCTCCAGCCCCTCTAAATGCTAATCCTGGGAAGGCAGGCGCTGCTGAGACGCCTACTTTACGCCTTCTTTAATGATAAAAGTAGGAGCCGAGATGCGTCGCTTCATCCCACTGTGGCGATGCCCAGCAGCCTCCCTGCCGGTTCCCCCTGGCCCCCCGGTTCCCCCTGGCCCCCCACGGCTCCCCGGGAGGCGGGAGGAGGAGGTGCTGGCCCAGGAGGCGCAGAAAGACTGTGCTGCCCATTTTAGGCGAAACTGTGCAGCAGAGCGGGGAGGGGAGAGCCGCTGGGACGAACCTTTCTCTTCTTGAAGTGCTGCCGTGCCAGGAAGCCCCTGCACGCTGCCTGGAAGAGGGTGATGTTCCTGCTGGTCTGTGTGTCCCGCTGCTCCTCCAGCTTGGCCAGTGATCCAGCCCGGAAAAACACCTGTGGGAGGAGCGGGGTGGGATGGCGATGGGTGCCGGCATCCCTCCGGCCACGCCGTGCCACCCGTCCTGCTGCTGGGGATGCAGCTCTCCCCTCCTATCCCAGCCACTGGTCCTGTCCCACCACGGGGTTTTATTCCCCAGGCACGAGGAATGCCGTGGGTGGGAGCAAACAGTGATGCCCTTGTGCTGTCCCACCATGCTGTGCCCAGCCGTGACGCACACCCCTGCCCACACCCACACCCAGTGTCGGGCACCATACCCGGCTCAAGCCCATGTGGTAGCTGCTCTTCTCCAGGTCCAGCGACTCCAGGAGCTCCTCCACTGCCTGTGGGGAGGGAGAAGTGTCAGGACTGGGCTGGTGGCACCCTGGGGCGCAGGGGACCTTGGAGCACACACTGGCCCTGGTACAGGACACGTACCCGCTTCTCATCCACCACGATGTAGTTGCGCCCGTGTTTCTTGGTCAGGTGTGGGGCCAGGACATCAAAGCGCCGCCTGAACTCCGCAAAGACCATGTGGTCAGGGTAACCTGGGGGAGCAAGGGAGAGTGGGGCTGTGGGGACAGCCAGGATGCCTAGGGGATGGCCAGGGACAGCCCTGCGTGCCCTGACAAGCTGAGGCCCAATTTTTCGGAGAGCTGATGGGGTCACTCCACGTGGAACAAGCTCCCCATGGGGACAAACACAGCTGGAAAGCCCTGAGCCTCCCCGGGAGGTTTTCCTTGGCTGGGTCCTCCAGCACTTTTGGCTGGGATCTAGGGAGCAAGTGGCCAGATCCCATCTTGGGGGCAGAGCAGGGGCACGTGTGTTGACTGTGGAAGTCCTGCTCCGGCTTCACTCTGAGCTGCAGCCAACTCCTGCATCAGGCTCCAGCACTGAGCCTTCACATCTTAATTAACGACGAGGTATTGATGAGGACTCTGACCCTGGCACGGCCAGCTGGCCACGGCCATCGATCCAGGAGGTGTGTGGGTGGCATCGATTTCCAATCACGGCAGGAAGGGTCTGGCCTCCAAGCAATAAACCCTCGGCCGGGCAGCTGGCCATGCGTATCGATAAATGCTTTGCTGAGCACGACTCAGAGTCCCTCGTTCCAGTGGGACAGGGGCTGGATGCCAGTGGGATTCCTGCCAGGAACCAGCGGCACCAGTGGAGACACCCAATTAAGGCCATGCCTGTCCCCAGCACAGATAACGGCCCCGCAGGGGAGGGGTGACAGGGACAGGACTGCCCTGGGGAGACAGCTGGAGGCTGCAGGGCTCAGAGCAAGGGCATGTGCTGAATGGGTTCCTGAGGGCCTTTGGCTCCCCAGTGAGAAGATGCAGCCAGGACCTCCGCGACGTCCGTCCCCTCGCCCTGGTGCCGGTGCCGCGGCTCACCTTGGCGGTACATGCGGAGGGCGTCGAGCAGGCGGGAGCCGCGAGCTGTGCGCGCAGGAGGGGCACGTCCAGCTGCATGAGCCCGGCCTCGCAGTGCTCCGCCGGCAGCTCCAGCTCGCTGCCGCTCACCCGCCGGCACGGCACAGCCTGGGGGTCCCCGCTGCCCCCCGCAGCCTTGGGCAGGAAGCAGTGCACGAAGTGGAGCTTGGACTTCTTGATGCTGTCGATGAGGGCATCCTGCAGGCACAGCAGAGCGGGGTGAGCGGTGATGTGCAGCAGTGCCCCAGCCAGACACGGGGACCCCCTCCTTGGCACCCTCTCACTCACCACTTGCAGCTTGATCTGGATGCAGAGGGATTTCTTCTTGACGGCGGCCACGCCGGTGGTGAAGGTCTTGCGCATGCTGGTGGCCCGGCGCAGGGCCAGCTGGGAGCCCCCCTCCAGCCCCGCCACCGAGCCCGACAGCACCAGCGCTGACCCGCCACGGCCGGCAAAGAGGCTGCTGATCACCTTCCTGCAGGGCACGGAGAGGATGTCACCCCCCAACACCACCCCTTCCCCCCACCATGCTCCCAACCTAGGACCCCACTCACTTCTGGGACTCCTGCAGCAGGACGGAGGCATTTTGGGAGGCTGGGTTGTGCTTGACATAGTTGAGCCATCCAGTGGCATCGTACTCCACCCAGTTAGTCCCCGAGCTGTGGCCCAGGAGGAAGTGTCGGGGCTTGTCACTGGGGAGCAGAGGGTTGTGCCCTGTGGGGAGACACAGAACCGCTGGGCACAGCCTCAGGGACCAGCACTTCACTGGCCCATGTCACAGCGTCACAGAATGGTAAATGGTTTGGGTTGGAAGGGAGCTTAAAGATCATCAAGTTCCAACCCTCACTCCATTGGGCAGGGACACCTTCCAGTGGAAAAGTTGCTCCTGGTCTAATGGACAAGTCCCCACAGTGCCAGGCTCCCCCATACCTTTCTTGCCCCCTTCCTGTGGGCCATAGTACGAGAAGAGCCGTTCCAACAAGGTGTCCTCGTTGCCACCCGGCTGCAGTGCCTCCTCCTCCAGCAGCCACAGCAGCCCCCGTGCCTCGTCTGTGCGGGCCAGTGACCGGACCTGCAGGGACACCGCGCTGGCAGCTGTCCAGCATACCACTGTCCCCCAGAGCAGGGACATGGGGTGACACAGGGGACCCAGGCCACCCAGGGAGCATGCAACCTCACACCGTGCAAGGGGTTTCCTGCTTAATGGAGACCCAGCAGGGAAAGAGCCCATATGGGACACTCCAGCAGCGGATCTCACTGGGAAATGAAGCGCTCAGGCACCCATGGGCTGGAGTCCAGCGCAGGGCTGGTGCCACCAGCCCTCCTGGTCTCTGCAGCCACCTCCAGCAGGGACTGGAGGACCCCAGGGATTAGAGAACCTTGGGAACCTGTGCACCCTGGGACCTGAGCACCTTGGGGACCATAGCATCTCAGGGATCACAAGGAGTGGAGCACCCCAGGGATCACACACACTCTCCAGGCCCCCTGCCCGCAGCACAGGCAGCTCCCAGGGCAAGCAGGGAAGACCATGCTGGGGAATGCACCAAGGATGTGGGCTGCACACATACTTGCAACCATGCTCTCACAGCCAGGCATTCATGACAGGCCCTTTCCTTCCCCTCACTACCACCTAAGTGCCAAAATTCCACCCATCCACTGCTGTGCTCTGGCTGTGAGGAAAGTGGGTGCTTACCAGTGCCTGGTGTGAGGACTGGTCTACAGCAGCTATGGAGCCAGAGGAGCTGGGCTCAGCATCAGCCAGGGTGAGCTCTATGTTCTCCTGGTGAGGGGGAACAGAGGCAAGTGAGGGCCCACACTGCAGAGTAGCAGTGACAGGGACCAGGAGCTGGTCAGGATGTTGCTTTTGACAAGGTTTAGGATGATGCCAGATGCCAAGGGTGGACCAGGACACATGGAAGGGTCCCCCCAGGCTGTCAGTGCCAAGATGGAGCAGCAGCAGTGATCTCACCACCACCACCACCACCACCACTCACAGCCACTCAGCCTCCCACCCATCACCTCCCAGCCCAGCCCTCCTCTGCCGTGCTCCACAGCCAAAGAAATCAGGGGGGACACAGAGATGTTCATGTGGGGACAGGAGGCCAGGAGGGGAGGAGGCAATGGCAGCCCTGGGTGTCCCCATTACCTCCTTGTATCGCTCTAGCTCGCGGGCGAAGGTGCGCTGGTGGAAGAGGAGCTGCAGGCGCTCCTGGGCATAGTTGTGGCAGAGCTCCTCGAAGGTGGCCCCTCGGCTCTGCCCTGCCAGCTCAGGGTTCTGCGCCCCGGGGGTGTCCACCACTGTCACCGAGCACACCGAGTGCTGGCTCGACTTCAGCGCCCTGGGGGACACCAAAAAGGGACTCAGCGGGGTGAGTCAGTGCTGCCAGGCACCCTCCAGCTCTGCCCCCAGCCCTCCCAGCACGTACCTGTTGAGGAGGGAGATGAGGAGGGTGAAGAGCTCGGAGTACAAACCAGATGCCATGCCCTCCAGGCACTCCAGCGCCGTCAGCTTGGGACCTGGTCAAGGCAACCCTGAGTGTCTCCAGCCCGTCATCCCCTGGGGCCCACCCCCTGTCCCCCCATACCTCACCCTACCTGTTCCACCATCCCCCAGGGGAGATTCATCGGGGCCCTGTCGGAAGGAGGTGGAGCGCTGCAGGGTGCCCTTGGGCTGGTGCTTGAAGATGGCAGAGGAGAGCTCCTCCAGGCTGCAGCCCAGCAGGTACGCAGCTTTCTGAGCCCACTCGTGCCGTGCAAACTGCTTCCTCCCGGCTGGAGGGTGGAGAAGGGGGCTTCAGAGCCAGACAGGGCATCCCCAAAAATGGGGAGCATTTTCAGACAGACTTAGGATGGTCTCAGGGACCCACAGAGTAGGCTGGGGGTGCTGGGCAGTGGGACCACATGGCCAGGAAGCATGTTTTGAGGTGTGAGGAGATAGACATGTTTGGGGTGTAGAGGAGATGGGGGGTGAATGGCTTTGTGCCACTTCAGGGCTGAGCCCAGAGCCACACTATGGTGTGTGGAGGTGAGGGTTCCCTTGCCATCACTACCTGGGGACCTCTGGGGCTCTGAGCCACCCCACACACAGAGACATGTCCTTGCTCGATGACACACTGAGCAGCCCAGCTGCAACACAGCCGGACAGACTGCGGCGGGCAGACAAACACGTGGATGCTGGGGGAGGTGGGAACGGGTTAATGGTGACATGCAGGGATGACATGACAGCAGGATGGTGGTGGCACGTGGGAAGGGGAAGCCAGAGACACGGGTGGAGACCAAGACTTTACCTTCGTCGGCGTCTGCATTGCAAAGGGCAGCATGCACCATGCGAACAGAGACAGGGGTTAGAAACAACGGCGCGCGACGGCGCGGGGACACGCGGCACGGGGGGCCCCTCCTGCCGGAACACGCCGCCACGCCACGCACATGCCAAGCCTGCCCCTCCCCAGGCATTGCTGCAGTGTGCAACCCAGTGTGGGGGTCTCTGTGAGCCCCCCTGCTCTGTGGGCACTGGTGGGGAGCAGCTCGGCTCTGCCCCAGAGCACAGAGAGCTGTTGTCAGAATCCAGCTGGGTGCAAGTGTCAAGAGGCTGAGGAAATGGGGAGGGCTGGTGTGACTGAGCTGGCTCTGAGCACCCCCGGTATCCACGAGGTGCAGGGGAGGCTTCAGCAGCAGGACAGAGCTGGGGCTGGGATGCTCAGGCAGGATGTGGCACCGCTCCCTCCCAGCAGGGCCCAGCTCTGAAGAGACTCCAGAGCTGCCCGAGCATCCCGCTGTGGTGGCTGCGGCGGGGCCCTGCTGCCCTCTAGTGCCCTGAGAGTACGCCATGGGCCAGCACTGCGCCCTGAGAGCATCCCATGGGCTAGGACTGCATAATGATAGCACACTGTGGGCCACCACTGCACCCTGAGAGCACCCCATGGGCCAGGACTGCACCCCACTGTGCCCCAAGAGCACCCCATGGGTCAGCACTGCACCCCACTACACCCCAAGAGCACCATATGTGCCAACCCTGCACCCCAATGCACGCTCAGACCACTCCAGTCTCTCCCTCCTCATCCCCAATTCATCTCTTGCCCCAGGGCTCAAAATTTCCTAGGTGCAGCCACCATTTGGGGGTTGCCATGCCCCAGCCCTCCTGCCAGAGTGCAGCACCACTGGGGCTTCCAGCACCACGGGGAGAAAAAGAAGCCACAGTGGGAGAAGAGCAGCCCCCAAAGCCTAATTTGCCACCCCCAGGGATGGAGAGCAAAGCTGATGCTGTTGGAGCCAGAGCAGCACCCACGGTGTGCTCTGGGTGCCAGAGCAGCCCTGCCCCACACCACCAATGTGCTGACAGGAGAGGGTTGGGGGTGATCATGGGCAGCAGGCAAGTTTGGGGTTGCCAGGAACCAGCTGGGGTTCAGGATTGGTCCCAGCACACCAGCAGCATCCCAAGCCCCCATTTCAGCCCCAAAACCAGCACCGCGTGGCACCCCCCAGAGCAGAGCCCCCCCTACTCCCATTACCGGCTCCGTCTGCCAGCGGCTCTGCGAGGAGGATCGAGGGAGAGGTGTTACACTGGGAACAGGGGACACATGCACCCCCCAGCTCCCTCCACCCCAGCCAGGCCCCCTCTGCCACACGTTGGCAGGAGCCAACACATGGACTGGGGGTGTTCAATTCCCACCAGTTAATGGGACCACTCCAGCCATGGGGACAAAGCTGAGTGCCCCAGAACACCAGAGGTGGAAGGGTACTGTCCCTCAGCTGACACAGCCCCCCACATACCCACAGGACTCGGCTGCACTGGGGTGGCTGTTTGCAAAGTGCCAGCGATGGCTCTGGGAGCCCTTGCATTCATCAGTCCCGAACCTCCACCCCGTTAATGGTTCCCAGCCCAGAGCAGCTCATTACCTTTGGTGGCCCCAGCAGCTCCCAGGTGGTAAATGGCCCCCAGAACAAGCCAGAAGGCTTTCTGCTCATCACCCGAGATGCCCATCACCTTCATGGCTGCCAGGAGCTTGCTGAACTGCTGGGTCGCCTTCTGCTTTTCCTCTGGCTGTGGGAAACCAGAGGAGCCATCAGCCTGGGAGCCCAGCTCTGCCTCCCCCCGCACTCATATGGGCCAGGGACCCCTGTCCCTCCCCACAGCCCCCCATGGCAGTGACCTTGGAGGGGGGCACGATGCCGAAGACGTTGTTCTCTGCAAGATGGTTGAAGTGAAGCTCAGTCCTGTGGGGATAAACACCATGATTGGCCCCATGTGGAAGACCCCAGAGACCCCCACGGGCTGGGGGCTGTGCCCTCGCCCCCCAGCTCACCGCAGGGTGCTGTCGGAGCAGGCCAGCAGGTAGTAGAAGACGTTGAAGGTGGTCTCATTGGCCGGGCGCCTGGCCACGCGCAGCTTCTCCAGCAGCAGTGTCTGGAGGAGGTGGGAGAGATGGGAACTGTCCCCAAGTGCCCTGCTCCCACCGAGACCCTCCAGTCCCCCCAGCCTCATCCCTGCTGCCTGCCCAGGGTCCTCCTGGAGAGGTGAGGGTCTCCCTCCTGCCACAGGGCACCGTGTGAATGCAATCATCATTCAAACAGCTCATAAGCACCTGTTCTCTGGTGAATAGTACTACAGCTGCATGGACCAGATTGGACATTAGAGCTCTGCTGTTATCACACTAGAGAGGCACCTGGAAGACAACCCCCCCGATTTTGGGACTAACTCAGCAGGGACAGGGAGCCCATCTGATCTAGGTGTGAACAAGGATAAGAGAAGGATGCCAGGCTGCTGAGTGCTGCAAGCATGGCTGGGCAGCTGGTGGGGGTCTGCAGCAGAGCTTGTGGCATAGGAAACACTGTGAGAATCATAGAGTTGTGGCATGGTTTGGGTTGGAAGGGACCCTAAGTTCCAACCCCCTGCCATGGGCAGGAACACCTTCCACTAGACCAGGTTTCTCCAAGTCCTGTCCAACCTGGCCTTGAACACTTTCCAGGCATGATGGGGGCATCCACAGCTTCTTTGGGCAACATCCCAGTGAGGACAGACAGGCTCCCGCACCAAGGGAAGCCACACTGGTAAGGATGAACTGGCTCCCATGCCAGGGGGGCCACCCCGGCCCCCTCACCTGTATGGAGGCGGATGCCACCTGCCCAGCCTGGTCGAAGTCCAGAGAGATGATCTGGGAGAAGCGGGTGGCGTTGCCGTTCATGCCGGTGCTGCTATTGCCAAAAGCCTCCAGGATGGTGTAGAGAGCCTGCCACTTCTCCGCTGCAGGAAGAGAAGCAGGGCGGTGGGGTGCAGGGGCTGTGCGGTGGGCGGGCAGCTGGAGCTGGCACTGCCAGCCGGGCAGGTGCTGCTGCTCCCGTGCCATGCTCCGCACCACAGCAGCCCTCAGGAGCGCGGCAAAGGCACCGGTGTGAGACAGTGACAGCCCATGTGGTGCGTGTCCAGCCGCTGCCGCGTGTGGGGGGCTGTGACTGCAAAGCAAGGGGCGTGCGCGGGCGGCACACGGGGACCCCGCAACCTGCTGGGGACTCACCGGAGAAGACCTTGCTGGTGCTGCCGGAGATGGTGGCGAGGTACTGGACCAGGTGCTGGCAGTTGGTGGTCTTGCCGCTGCCGCTGGCGCCCAGCAGCACCACGGCCTGGTCCTGGCGGCTCATCAGCATGCTGCGGTACGCGGCCTGGGCCACCGCGTAGATGTGCGGGGATGTGTCCTCCCTGCGGCACCCCTTGAACATGTGCATGACCTGGTGGGGACAGGGAGGGTGAGCGGGCGAGGGTCAGCACCCCTCCACCCCACAGCTCCCTCTGTGCGGCTCCCAGCCGCCTGTCCCCTCCGGTGTGCCCCCCGCAGCAGGGTCACCTTCTCAGAGTACATGGAGGGGGAGCTCAGCGGGTTGATGATGACCATGGTGGGCCCGGCGTAGGTGTGCAGGAGGTTGCCGCCGTAGCGCTGCCGCAGCGTGTGCAGCACGCTGGACTCGTTGAGGTAGAGGAGGCTGGCGAGGTCCTCCACGCGGTCACACGATGGGGGGTTCGCCTGGCAAAGAGGTCGAGGGGGGCGTCAGGCTGGGAACGGGGGTCTGCCCCATCGTCCCCCCGCCCCGCAGCCCTACCTTCTCCACATCATCCTCCTCCACCTCCAGGACAGCTCCGTCATGGTCCAGTTTCACCTTCACCTTGCCCTCGGGCAGGGGACTGCCAGCCTCCTGCTGCAGCTGGCTGCCTGCGAGGGGCACAGGGCACTCAGTGGGGCCGTGCTGGCAGCCCCCTGGGGACACCACAGGGAGGATGTGCCATGGGAAGGACAGGACATGCCATGTCCCAGCAGTGCCCCTGACTCACCCAAGGAGAAGCCATCCCTGTGCACCAGCCACACCTTCTCGGTCTCGTACCAGGCCTCCTCAGCCGCTATCTGCTCCTCTGTCTTGGCCTGTGGAACACCAGGAGGTGGGGTGGTTGTGGTCATCTGCCCCCACTCTGTCTTGTCCCCTCCCCACATCCCTGGGGGCTGGAGGGAGCAGGGCTGACTGGCCACAGGGCCTCATGCTGGCCAGCCACAGCCATCCTTTACAAACCTTCCCAGCACCAGTTCCCATTTGCCCACTGTCCCCAGGGACCCCAGTGAGTTCGGGGCTGCAGAGACCACGAGGGCTCTGCCACAGCTCAGGGCAGACATAAAACCAAAGACCCAAAGGCACATTCACCACAGCCACCTCAAGCAAGCCTGGAGGGGCTGAGCTCCCAAACTGCAGCCCCGAGACAGGGCACCCATTCCAGCCACGTGGTAGGATGCAAGGACACTGGGCATGCTGTGGGGACATGGGACATGCCACAGGAACACGCTGTAGGACACACAGGACACACTGCAGGTACATAACATGGGGACACAGGACACGGGAGAGGACCACAGCATGGGAAATGTCGGGTTGGTGTGGCCAGAACCCGAGAGCAGGATAAGCCCTAAAGCCAAACCTGAGCTGCAGCAGGGATGGGGCCAAGGGGAGCTGCCGGCGCATCGTCCACTGGACCCTGGCAAGGCCGAGAGACGGGGCTGAAGGCGAGAAGGGCTCAGCCCTGACCCCCAAACAGCACGAAAAGTGGCGAGGAGAGCAAGCGGGGGCAAAGCGCCACTGTGCCACACCCTGTGAGCGCTCCCGGTGCCATGGCCACTGCTGGGGACAACAGGGTGGCATGTCCAGCACTGTGCTGGAGACAGTGGAGCCAGGAAGGATGTTGGCCATGAGGCCGTGCTGCCAAAGCCCTGGGGTTGGGGGTCACTGCACTGACCCGCTCTGAGCTCTGCTAGCACCGTGCACCATGGCTGCTTCGCCACAAGCCAAGCATCCTGCCTGTGCCAGTGCTCTGCTCTGTTCCTTCACATCCTGCTCCACACCCCTGCCCGCCCCAGCTGTGCCACCTCCACCAAGAGCACCCCCCAGGGATGCCCAGCATCCCAGCACGGCCCCGCTGAGGAGAGGCAACCAGCCCCGGCCGCCCCGGCACCCTCCAGCCCCGTGGGTGCCGTGGCAGCCCACGGAGCAGGGTGGGATGGGAAAGCCTTACGCTCCAGCACGAGGCACGGGCGCAGACGCCAGCCCAGCGGCACACAGAGGATGGCGGGGGGTCGCTGGTGGAGGCAGAGGGTTCCTGAGGACGGGGGTACAGTACCTGGCTGGGTGCTGAGGCGGAGGCGGCAGGGTCCAGCTAACGGCAGCAAGGAAGCAGGAGAGAAAGAAGAGAAGGGATGAGAGGCAGAGAGCAGAAGCAGCACCCTGACAGGCCACAGGGCCCTGGTACAGCCACGATTCATATGGCACTACCAGGACATCATCCATCCCAGCCACCAGAGTGTGCCTGGGCTCCCACAGGGATGCCAGCAGTTTCCCATACCCAGGCACGCTGGTCTGGGCAATGATCCCCAGACCCACCAGCAGCTCTGGTCATTCATGCCCTGCTGCCACCCAGAGAGGGACCATGGGGTTGGCAGCCAGCCACAGGGGTACAGTCACCATGTGCAGAGTACACGGCATGTCCAGGGCAGCCACACACTGCCCATGCCTCCCCATTCCTAGGAAGGCAACATGCAAGCACCAACAACCCCTGGAATTACAGAAGTAGTGAAGATCCTCTCCAGTCGGAGCTGTGCTTCCTCAGATGGGCTCAGCTGGGACACGGGACCGGGGCCAGCCTGGAGGCAGAGCACCATCAGCCCCGTGTCAGCTGCCCCACAGCCTCTGCAGCCCTGGCACATGGGCAACAGCAGAGCCATTGCAAAGGCTTTCCCAGCCCTGCAGCCCAGCAGTGTTCGGGGCGGGTACTGGGGTGAAGGTGCTGACACTGGCACAGCTGGGGTACCGGCAGGTACCCACAGTGCCTGGGGACCTGGGTCCCCACTCCTACACACCTGCTGGGGGGGTGTCGGGGCAGTTTTCACAGGGGTCGGCCGCTTCTCGCTGGTCTGCTGCTTCTTCTCCATACGAAATGGAGGGGAGACAAGGGCCAGCGTGATGGGGTTGCCACAGCACACACCATTGTCCCAAAAAAGTGACCCCCCACCCACACCACACACCCCAAAACCACTGCAAACCATGCAGGTGAGCTCACACCATGCTGAGCTGGGGGCACAACCCGCTGCCGGGTTAGAGCATCCCCTGCCGTGCACACACCGGTACCTTGTGCCTCTCCAGGGCGGTGGGTTTCAGAGCAGATGCCTTTGCCGGCTCCGCTTTCCCTCCCGAAGGCTGCACCAGCGGCTCTGGCTTGGCTTCAGTGCCCGGGGACAGGGACGGCTTTGCGTCCCCACCGGCCGGCTCGGGGGACTTCTCCTGCCTGTCCCCCGGCCGGAGCCGCGGCCGGTGCTCCTTGGTTTTGCCCTTTGCCATGAGGGTTTTGAGCCCTGCTGAGATCTCATCCTTGGGTTCTGGCTTGGCGGGGGCTGCCGGCACCACGGCGGGGGGAGGCGGCGGGGCCGGGGGAGCCGGGACTCCAGCACGGCCTGTCTCCTCCTTCCTGGGGGGTGGCACTGGCTCGGGAGACTTGGCATCTTGCCCTGGTTCCTTGGCACTGCCAGTGTCCTCCCCTGGCAGGACTTTGCGCACCACCTTGCGCACCACTCGGACCATTCTGCGGTGGGACAGCCCCTGGCCATCGTTCTCCTGTGCCTCGGCAGCGGGGCCCTCCAGCCCATTCACGGCCGCCCCATTCAGCACCGGCTCTGGGCTCTTCCCTTTCCCAGGAGGTGGCTCGGGGCTCTTTGCAGGCTCAGGTTTTGAGGGCTCAGATTTTGGGGGTTCAGGTTTCGGGGGCTCAGGTTTCAGGGGTGTAGATGCCACATCCTTCGGGCTCTCTGACTGCAGCCACAATGACACCGGTGTGAGTGGAGGTCCAGCCATGGACCCTCTGCTTGGGACATCACGGTGCCCAAGGCTCTGTGCCCTGCCACGGAGCACAGCTCCTGGCCAGACCCCGGCACTGAGGGACACAGCTCCCAGTCCCCTTCCCCAGCCAACCTACAGCCCCCCACCAGACCCCAGGGCAGGGAGCAGTGACAACCTACCATCCCCACACACAGGGACCCATCAACCCTCAGGTTGCCAGTGCAGGGGTAAAACTCCGTGCTCAGGGCATCACTGAGCCCACGATCCTCCACAGTGTCCCCAAGCCCTGGCATGGGGTCTGTTCCCACCAAGGGAGAGCCCCATCCCCAACACCCTGCCCATGCCCTGCGACACTTACAGGCCCGTCCTCCTTCACGGGTCTTTTCACAGCTAAAGATTTGTCCTCGTCCTTGACCTGAGGGTCAGACAAACAAGAGGAGCACGTTTCATCCCACTGTGAGGCCTCACTGCCAGAAAACCCACCAGGACCATCACTCCATGCCAGCCCCAATCTGCAGCCCATTGCAGGGGACAAGGACATGTGTCCTTCCAGGCTTCCCATCAGCCAAAAAAGCAGGAGGAAGCGCAGAGATGCGCCCCAATTATGGCAAACCCCAAAGGTGGGAGAGGTACATGCTCTGACTGCCTGGCCTGGGCCCTCTCGTCACGAGCAGTTGGTGAGTGAGTAGGTAGAGTCCCATTACTGCTCTCCCAGGGCTCTGTCCTTCTGCAAGTCACTCCCCAGGCATCACAGCACGTTTTAAGTGTCAGCAGCTAATCTCTGCAGCAGCCGCATGTGGGATGTGCCAGTTCCCTGCCGAGCGGGGCGACCAGGGGGCTCTGGGGGGTGGGTGGTCAAATCCTGTCCTGAGCCGTGCCTCTGAGTGCCAGGACTCGGCTTGACACTGCGGTGCATCCCGTGGGATTGCCATCACACAGCTCCTGGGTGGCTGGTGGCACCGGGGTGGCTCATGCCGTGTTAGGGGCTGCACCAGCCACTTGCAAAGCGGTTAGTGATGGTGTTAGTGATCGCATGCGTGGCAGTGTCGGTGACTCCGCTCCAAGCTCCCCGTTTGCTCAGCACGGCCCCCGGCACAGCAGCACGGTGAGGCCGGGAGCGCCGCTCCAAACATGGTGCCAGCGCTGGGCAAACTGAGGGAACTGGTCAGCAGCGTGACCCGAATGTGGGGCGCAGGCAAACATGCGAGAGAGACTTCCCTTCTGCTCCCAGAACGCAAACCGGGATGAGAACGCCATGGTGATGTCTCATGGAGCCGCAGCCCTGGCTGGGGAGAGAGGTAGAGGTGAGATGGGCTGGGGACAGCACATAGAAAGCCAAACCATGGCACAGTCTACAGGGATGTGTCCTTCCCCACCTGGGATCCTCAGGAATGGGGGTCTGAGCCCACCTGGCCTTGCTCAGCGTACAAACGGTGCCCACAGGAGGGGCTCCGGGGACAGGCAGGTGACCAGTCTGACACACGGCAAAACTCATTGTGCAAAAAAAGCCCCTTCAGTCAGACCTCAGGATTGTGCCCCCATTCCCCTGAGCAGGCCAGTCTGCTGTAGTAAGCAAATGCCAGGGTGAGGGAAGGGATATTTTCTACCCCAGCTCTCTGCTTGCCCTGACAGTCAGGGTTTATTCTGAGCCTGAGCCTGTGCCAGCAGCCGGGCAGCCCTGATGGGACCCACCGCCCTGGCTGGCACCCACTCTCCAACCCAAAGGGGTTGTGCCTGGGGCCATCGGGGAGCAATCCCCTTCCCAGAGCCAGGCATGGAGCGGCTGCCAAACCAACCCGCCTGTCTGGGCACACACCACCTTGTCCCTGAGGGATCCCCTGTACCCCATCCCCCTGACCACAGTGATACACCAGTGCCAGGAGTACAGGCTGAACACGGGGGTCTGGAAACAAACCTGCCTGTGGGGCCAGAGCTTCCAGACCCTCTGCTTCCATTTCCAGGCAGCCTGGCACCCCAAAGATCCCCAGAGAGCACCGGCGTTGGAGTTCCCACAACAAACAACCCCCAGCCACCAAAGCACCCCAGGGGTGGATTTGGCCTTGCAGCCCCCAATCCCTGTGCCAGGACTGTCTCCCACGTGCCCCCCTTGTGCTCCCCCAAGCTGTGCTGACCACACCAGGGGTCCCCACCTTACCAGAGGGAGCCAGGAGCGGGGTTTCCGCCGGGGCGAGCGCGGCACAGCACGGTGGGAGAGGCACTAGCGGGGCGGCAGCCGCAGCACGGGGACAGCTGGGCTGATAGGGCCACCCTAAAAATAGCCAAGGAATGCGAGGGCCCCGCCGGCGCATGCAGCAGCCGGAGGGAGAGCTGGGGGGGACACGCGGGCAGTGGGGCCTCACCACCACCACCGTCACCGCCGCCACTGCCAGAGGAAGTGATGTGGGCTCTGCCGCGGGGGGAACTGCCCAGCCTCCGTCCACTGTCCGCCCGGAGGGAGTGGGGGAAGACACCCCCGGACTGAGTGCAGCTGTGGAGCTGGAGGAGCCAGGGAGAGTTCTGTGCCACAAGGGACGGGGTTGCACACTCCTGCAGCCCAGGGTGCCATGGCAGGGTGCCCAGTGTTGGAGCAGCGTGCCTGGTGCTGTGCCAGGCGGCGCAGCCCTGACACTGCTTGCTCCTCCTTTGGTTTTCCCATGAACACAACAGCCCCCTCAAAATGCTGCTGGGGATGGAGAGCACCCCAGCACGGCACGGCAGTCCACAGTAAAGACACTTTCAAGGCAAAGCTGTCTCTGGAAGTCCAAGGTCTCCCTGGAAACAGCAGGAGCGGGGCGGCGGGCAAGGGGCCGGGGGTCGGGGGCCTCCCTGCGCGGGGGCTGCCGGGAGGAGGCCGGCGGCAGGGAGCCAGGCACACCAGCATGGAGGAGCAGCGGTGATCACTTGGGCACGGGCATGACAGGGACCCCTGCAGGTACCTGAGCAGGTCCAGGCCAGACCAACCGACAGAGATGTGCCCTGAGCCAAAAAACATTCCCAGGAGAAGCAGGGAGTCCTGGTCTGATTGGACAGCTGTGCCAATGGTAGGCTGGAAATCCCCATGCTGGGAATGCCAGCACTAGGCCACATCCCGCCTGGGCCACAGGACTGGCACCCCCTGCTGCACAAGGGGCAAGCCACAACAAACACCCTTGGCAGGGCTGGCACAGCACAGCTGAGAATGCCTGTGGTGACAATGGTGTCCCCAGGTAGTGTGGGCATGGAGCCATCACCAGGGAGGAGCCCATCTCCCACAGGTCACCTCCACCAGGATGCCCAGCCCAGCTGTTTGGTGATGAAGCATTTCTGCCTGGCCAGGATATTCCTCTCGTTCTCCTTCAGGAAGTTTGTCAGAGACACACTAGCCCATGGCTGAGCCCACGGGATACAAGTCGCCCTCCCCAAAGGACCCTTTGGGACTCCCCCTCACACTGTGGCACCCCAGCAGCACCGACACCAGAGCGAGGGCAGAAAAAGAGCCAAACCAAGAATTTCCCAAGCATGGAAAAATGGAGAAAGCGCCTTCGACACAATGAGAGTCCCACACCCTCCAGTGGGACATGGGCACCCAGCCTTGCACTCTGGGGACAGCAACCTCCAGGGACCTGGGTGCCCACAGACAGTGGGCATGCATGGTACGCAGGGTCCACCAGCATGGCTGATGGATGCCTGTGGTCCTGCTGAAGCACTGGAGTGGTCAGAGGCATTTCTGGAATATTTCTGCTGGGCCGGCGCATGCCTGGGCCCTGCCTGAGGAATTTCACTGTAAATAAATAAATACAGGCGTGGAGCTGAGCCAGCCCAGCTCCCCCACACTGGGAGCAAGGCCGGGACATGAAGGGGGTTACACCCAGTCCTTGATGACCAGCCAGCCACGCCGTGCCACCGGCTGGCCCCACACGCACCTCACAAGACCAACATCCCCTCAAGACATGGTGGGTGCTCCCCTTGCCCAGCCAGGCTCATGGGGACAAGGGTGACTCAGTACAGACCCGGCGAGGGGGTTAAACCCCCCACGGTACACAGAGAACCCGGCACCATCCCACTCCAGCCAGGGAGAGGCTTCCACAGCAACAGCCCAAAATATGTCTATAATTTCCTGTTTCAAAAAGGATCATTTTTATTTAAATTAGGACCAGAAACATTCCAGGGAGCTTAGTGGGGCCTGGGGAAGAGCCAGGCCTCCCTGTGTGCTGGCACCTTGCACGAGGGACCCCCAGCTGTACCCAGCACTCCTGCCTGGGTTCCTCAGCACTGGCAAAGGTGTGGTGCATCCCTCTGGTGCACCACGCAGGAGGAGAACAGCATCCTGCTCCAGGACATGCCCGAGCTGCAGTGGCAATCAACGATGCCCCACGACACAGTCAGTGCCAGCCCTCCAGCCAGCTCCCACTGGCTGATGCCGTCAAACCACACCATGTCCCGGCACAAGGCCGCACGCTGCAGCCTCTCCCCTGCAGCCCCAAGGGCACCGGCATCTCCTCTTCCCCTTCCCAGCCCAGCACCACGCTCCTGGCAGGAGCAAGCGCCTCGCTGGCCCCGTGTGCCAGCATCCAACGCACACCTGCCTCCACGCCAAGGCGCTGCAGCACGAGCACAGCCGTGCCCTGCCAGCACCTCGGGGTTATCCGGCCAGGGGTTATCCCTGCAGCACCGCCGGCACTGCCCGGTGACGCCTGCCGGGCTCCGGGGAGGAGCTGTCGGAAATCCATCGCTCCAGCTTGGCGCAGACTCCACCCCGCAGTGCCGGCATCTGCTCGAGGAGCACATGGAGCCCCTTGGCCACCCTCACTCCATCCTGGCCCCCATCCTGTGGGCACAGGGCCCCGCCGTGCTCAGCGTAGCCCTCCCTGGTGCGGGCAACCTGCTCTGCACCCTCCTACCCTAAGGAAGGCTTAAAAATACACTAAACGAGCCCAGTTACACGCACTAAACAACGTCACACTGTTGCACCCCCTGCCACCACAGAGGGGGCCTAGCCCTGCAGGTTGTTGGTGTTTGGGGGCCTCTGCCAGGGTGCTGGCTGGCCAGGACACTGACTAGCCCGCGGCAGGGTCAGCAGTGCCGGGCAGCAGGAGTGAGGGATGTGGGTCACCCAGCCATTAAGTTTCTATTTATACAGCAGCAGTAGCAGCAGCAGCCGCGCACGCAGGGCTGCGTTTGCCGGCAGCAGCTCCCGGCCCCTGACACACTGTGCGCCTGCCCCATTCCCCAGGGAGGATCCCAGCTGAGGGAGGCCAGCGTGGGCAATGGAGCAGGCAGTGTCCTCCCGCAAAGCAGCATTTGGAACTTCCTGGCAGTGAGGAGCAAAGCTCCCTTCCCTGCTGGACAGTGCTTCCTCAGCAAAGAGATGGGGACAGACTTGCCCCAGCAACGCACAGTGGGGCTTTCCTGCAACCCCTCTGGCAAGAGGAAGACCAAACACAACAGCACACAGAGTATTTTGCGGGGCAAAACCCACCGGTGACGATTTGTAAGACCTGATGTGGCTGCACTCCAGCCACAGCCTCCCACTCCTCTGTGCATTGCTCCTGGCCAGAGCAGCCTCGGTACCCGCTGGTTCCCACAGCCCCTGCCAACCCAAACACCCCCGCAAGGACGCTGGCACTGGCAGAACCCAGGCCCCAGCAGCGCCCACGGCAAGGACAGCGTTACTCACATCCCAGGCAGCACGGCGTGTCCCCTGGCCGCCCCGCAGCCAGCACCGGCTCAGCTCGCTCAGCTCCAGGATGGGCTGCACCTTCAGCTGCACCGTCTCCCCCGACTGCCGGATCATCTCCACGATCTCATCCCGGGATTTGTTCTCCACGTTTAGCCCGTTGATTTCCACCAGCCGGTCACCCGGCACCAACCCCAGCGCCAAGTCTTTGGTGCCGGCTCCAGGCTCGGCGAAATGCACGACGCGCCGGTACACCTGCCCGTCGGGCCCCCGGTCCAGCATGGTGGTGCGGCGCAGGGAGAAGCCGAAATCACCGGTGTTGCGCCTCTGCAGCTCCAGCTGGCGTGGAGTCGGGGGCTGGGGGGGCACCAAGGCAGGCAGCCGCAGCTCGGTGGGAAACCTCTTGCCGATGGGCTCCGGCACCCTGGTACGCAGGGAGGTGGCGGGAGGGGTGTAGGGCTGTCCAGGGGCAACCCCTTGCTTGTCAAGCGGAGTCTCCAGCATGCGCACCTCCACCTGCGGGGAGGGGGCTGCCGAGTGCTCAGAGGGGGTGGAGGTCTCCGAGGTGCTCTCGTCCCGGCTTTTCTGGGAGAAGGAGAAGCGTTTGACAATCACCTGGGAGTTCTGCTTGGCCAAGGAGCCAAACTTGGCAGCCCGCTGCAGCACCGAGCCCTTGAAGTTGCCATCGTCCACCTTGAGATCGTCACTGGAGCTGGCCGTGCTCAGGTGGCCCGAGTCCAAGATGACACTGCCCCTATTGCTATCTGAGTCGATGTCCGTGAGGTGCAGTTCGGAGCCACTGGCCACCTTGATGGGGATGGGGTTGGAGATCTCCAGGCGGGTCTTGGAGTCCCGCTTGGAGGCACGGTTGAGGTTGAAGAAGCCCCGGCGCATGCTCATCTCCTCCAGGCTCTTGAGCTCAGCAGCTGACATTCGCTCCTTCTTCTCTTTCTTTTTCTCCTTCCGGGCCCCATCCTTCTCTTTGTCTTTCTTCATCAGGTTGAACATGGTGGAAGGGGGCTTGGGGCACTCTTGCCCCCTTGGCGGCGCGCTGGGTTGGGGTGCTGGTCACGGCACAGCCGCCTGCACAGGACAGAGAGGCAAGGGTGCCATCAGACAGTGGCATGGCCAACACCCACCCACCACCCCTCAGTCCATCCCACTGGTCACCCCAGTTGCCACACCCAGCCCACGGGGTCATGTCCCAGCACTTCCACCTTCCCTGGGGACAGCAGCACCGCAGGGCTGAGACTGCCCCAGTTATTGTGATCTCACCCCAGCTGGGCACAAAGTCCCAGGGATGAAACAAGAGTGGCCCTGCACCTACAGGGATGCCCCAAAAGAAGTCCAAAAGCCTGGCACCCCTGTGCATCCCCCTGCCAGCGCCAGGGTTGGCTGCAGGTAAGACCCCTGGCATCTCCCGCAGCTCAGGAGCCGTTTCAGAGTAGCACTGGTGAGCAGCAAGGAACACGTCCTGGTTCCTTTTCCTGCCAGCACGGATACTCCCCAGGGTAAAACTCCCCATCCCAGCCAGTCGCAGCACCACCAGCATCCCGCCTGCTGCTCAAAAGCCCCTTGTTGAGGAAACAGAGGCTTCTCTGCTGCTTGTCCTGGCCCCGGCCACCGCAAACCGCGAGGGAGAGCCGCGGGTAGGGAAGGAGCCGGAAACACGGCCCGGAGCGAAGGTTGCTCTAATAAACAGGAACCTGTAAAATCACATCCCTCCCAACACTGATAAGTGTCTAATTTTAGCCACGGCGACGTAGAAACTTGTGACGCCGACGGCGACCTCCAGGAACAGTCGCTCTTTCATTCGGGCATCCCGCGCAGGGCGGGGGGAGCACCCAGCCAGTGGGAAAACCGTGGTTGGGCAGAAAACCCAGCTCCTTCCTGGAAAACCCCACGTGCACACAGTGCCTGGGAGCACCCACAGCCTCGCCCCACACGGGGTGCTATGGGACCCGTCTGCCCCTGGGGTAACTGGTAGCCTCTCCCTCCCCCAGCCTCCATCGAGTGCTTGGGCTGTGGATAAACAATTCCAAAGTGGAGCAAGCGGCTGGCAGCACCCGCGGGATGGGCTGACAGCTATATATAACGGGGCAGGAAGCCGCACAGGAACTTAACCTCAGCACAAAGGACAACAGGAAAACTCCCTGCGTTTGAAGCATCTGCTTTAGAGCTCTCTGACGGGCGTGGGGGTGAAGTTTGGGTGGTCACAGGGATAGGTAGCACTGCCCATGGTGGCAGTCCAGGCTCTGCAGGCATCCTGGGGTGCGTGGATGTGCTGTGCCGTGCCAAGTTGCACCTTGGCTCCAGCACAGCATCAGTACTGCATCACCATCACTGCCTGGACCATCTCCCTGCAAGGGCATGTGGTCCCCATTGACCTTGAACGCACCCAGTGGGACACTGAGGAACTCAGTTTCCCCTTGGCAAAGCCACACAAGGATGGCAGGAAACTGCCTGAATCCTCCTGCTCCTCAGGGTTGGGGCAGGAGTTCACGTGCCCAAGAGAGGCCTGGCCACAGGGCAGGTGAGGACAGAGCTCTGCAAGCCACGGCATAGTGCTGGCCCCGGGCGTGCGATGCTGCCGAGGCAGTGAGGGGAAGCAGCCAGAGGAACAAAGTCGGGTACGTAGCTCTGAGGCTCCTGGTCATGTCCAGAGCAACTGCCACAGCTCTGCCCACACCACCCAGCCCTGGGGCTCTGATTGCTCTGCCCTCCCTGCAGCACCTGGGGCTTTACCCAGACACAGAACAGGACCTGACCAGGGCAAGACCACAAAATTCATAAAAACAACCTAGTTCCTTTCTCCTCTCCCAGAACCGCCGGTTGTAAGGTGACCACTGACCCGAGTCAGGGGACAGCACAGCTCCTTCTCATGACCCACAGCAGGTGCTGTTGAAAAGGGCTCTGTAGCTCTGCCGTCACAGGGGCTGCTCCCCATCAGCTCCTCCATGGCTTTGCCAGGGCCTCAGGGCAGACAATGGCAGGGAGGGAACCACCTGCGCCTGTCCCTGTCCCCCACCATGACACATGCTACTGGTACCACAGCTGCCTGGGCATCCCTGAAGCTGTAGAAAGGGTTGTACCCCCAGGAGCACCCTGAGCTCACCCCATGGCAGGGAGGGGGCTGTTTGGACCCTTCCCAGGGATCCCCTGGGAGCAGAGCTGCTCACCAGGCAGGTGCTGCTTGGAGCTGAGGCACCAGGAGACAGGCGGCCAGCGCGCTCTTTGTCCTCGGCGGTTTCTCTCACACGCTGCCTCCCAGCCTTTGTAAGCTCAACAAAAAGGGGGAACAGCCTTCCCAGCCGCATCGCTAATCAGGCAGCACCGGCAGCTGCTGGCACAGCCACGTGTGCCCCACACTGGGCCACAATGGGCAGGAGCAGGGCAGGGGGGACAGGAACCGTGGCATCCCCCCTGCACGGGTGTCCCCAGTCCACGTGTAATGCCCTTGTGGTTTGCCCCCTTTCCCCAAGGAGGTTCCCACCCTGGGGATGCCGGATGGGTGCAGCCTCATGCCGTGAGCTGGAGGCGGCTGCTGAGCGTCTCCTCGCTCCTGATTCAGACCCAACACACCTTCCCTGACTCAGCCCGGGCTCGCTCCGGGACTCCCCATGGCCAGGTGTGTTTGGGGCAGCGTGTATGAGCCATGACAGGGGAGGGAGAGGTGCCCGCCGGCGCCGGCTGTGCTCTGGGATCGCACGCGAGGATGCTGCTGTGACACCCAGGCTGGCAAGGGATTCTGGATGTCACCTTGGAAGGGCCAAGAGGCACAAAAGGAGACGCAGCTCGAGGTTCCCCAACCCAGTAGCCCTCCCTGAGCCTCCCATGCAGAAGCTGGGGGGACACACCTTCCCCCTTGTCCCCCCACCATGACCACGAGCCCCCACGTCCCTGCCAGGGTGCCGGGGAGTTCCAGGCAGGGAGGAAGGCGTTCACTGAAACTCCGGGCCCCTCCTTCCCTCCCCGAGACGCAATCTCGTCCGACACGCTCCCGCGCAGGGACCTGCACTGCAAGTTTCACAGTCGCCTGCCCTCCCCGCTCTGCTCCCCGACGCAGTGCTGGCTGTAGGGCCCTGCTCACCCACCGCTTCAGCACAGGAGCTGGTGGCCATCAGCTCCTTGGGCACACCGCTTTGGGGTGCCCCACATCCTGGCTGTGCCCGGCTGGGCAGGGACAAAGCTGTGCCAGGGAGCAGGAGCTGCTGGCAGCAATGCCAAGCAGCCAGGCCAGCTCCCACACAGAGGAAAGGGGGGCTGATCAGCGTGACAGCTCCTTGCCGGACACAAGTTTTCCACAGAACAAGGAAATTTAGGGAGTTTCCAAATCCTTCTGCACTGCCTGCCCTTAAGGACAACACTGAGATGTATCAGGAGGAAAACAATACCAGATATACCTGAGTCACAGCTGGGATGTGCCACCAGGCTGTCACCAAAGCAGGATATTGGGCCCTCCTGCCACAGGAACCCCATGTCCAACAGCAAAGGGGACCCAGACTGGCTGTGAGGTGTCACCATGGACCAGGAGGATGCACAGGGTGTGTGTGGGGGGTTCAACCACCTGCCTCTCCCCAAAGCTGGGCACTGACACAGCTAAAAAGGCCTTACAGGACAAAGGTGGTGGGGCGGGATCCCAGCTGCGCTGCCAGGTGGGAGACAGTTCAAGGAGCAGCTGGGGGTTAGGTGGGTTAGCTGTCCCCACACCACCCTGCACAGGCCTCCCCCACCACCTGTTTCTGGCCCCAGATTCACAGCCTGACATCCTGCACAGCCCAGCCCACACCAAAGGTGAAGGGCTGAGCCCTGACTCGTCAGCGGGCAAAGTCCAGGGCTGGTGCAAGCGCTGTGGGAATGTTTGACTCCCAAGAGGGACTGGGAGGTGGGTGGGGATCCCCCAGTGCTGGGGTGCCAGGGCCAGCCTTGGGGTGCAGGAACACACTGCCCTGTGCCCGCACTTTCCTGTAATTGACCTAACTTTAGCTTTGGCACTGGCTGACCAGACAATTTGCATCTCACAGGCTGGCTGGAAACCACACAATTTAGGGATGCGCGTCCTAGCCCTCGCCCAACGCTCCATGTATTCCTCTCTGGGAAAATTAACAGGCGCCGGGGTGACCACAGCCCTATGAGCCCCCAGAGTCCCCAGCACAGCAGCCTGCTGAGAGGCCACCCACTCCTGTCACGCCAAAAAGGTGCTCAGGTGCCAGTGCCACTGGCCCCAGCAGCGATGTGGTTAACAGTGAGCTGCGCTAATGGCTTTGGATACAATTCCCTGGTGGTGCCGGAACGGCCCTGGCCAGCGGGTTCTGCCTGGAAGCAGGACTGGCCCTGGGGAGCCTTATGGTGGGTGCTGGGATAGCCAACATGGGCCTCCCAGCATGAGGCACCTGACATGGGGAATCCTGCAGGGACAGGCTGGTTGTACTCACGGAGGGTCCCTGCCCACCCTAGAGGGGCACAGCTGCCCCCACAGCACCCACAGCTGGGTGCACACACCTCCAGCACCCCGAGCACGGGTGGGACACACACAGGTGCTGCAAAACAATGAGGGGGTGGGGCACGGGGACACAGGGGGACACAACACACAAAACACACCCCGCAGCGCAGAGGGGGCACGCACAAGGTGACACGCACATGCAGACACGCACACGCGTGACTCCGGGGGCTGCACGCCCACGGGCGCTGCACGACAAGTGCGGGCCATGCGCACACCCGGACCCCGCAACCGGAGAGTGGCACCGGGGGGCCCGCACACACCCACCCACCCACCCACAGCGGTTCTGCATGCGCCGCGGAGGCGCGGGCACGAGCACGGTGCACGGCTCGGCTCGGCCCGGCCCGCCGGGGGGGGCGATGCAGGCGCGGCCCGCCCCGCGCCGGGAGGTGCGTGCCGGTGCCCCGGCCGCGGTGCTGCTCCTCGGTCCCCGCTCCCCGGTTCCCGGTGCCGGCGGGATGGCGGGGGTTACTCACCCGGCGGCGGCGGCGGAGCGGGGCCCGGTGCTGGCGGCGGCGGTGCCGGGCCCCGGCGGCGGCAGCGCGGGGCGGGGCGGGGCGGGGCGGCCCCGCACCGGGGCGGGCACTGCCGGCTGTGCGCGCGCCGCCCGCCGCGCCGGGCGCGGCTCCGGTCGGCTCGGAACGGCGGCCCTGCCCACCCGCCGACCTGCGGGCGCTCAGCCCCGGTGCGCCACGCACCCCCTCCCGGCGGTATAACCACCGCACGGGCCGGAGCCCGCAGCCCGGTGCGCGCCCGGGACCCGTGCAAGCCCCGCGCCGCACACCCGTAACCTGCCCACGGAGCGGGGTGACCCCGCAACCCCCTCCCCGCACACGCACAGCCCGTGTGCACCGGTGCACACGCGGTGTGTGCACACCCCGGTGTGACACGGTGACACGCCGGCCGCCCGCACACCCTGCACACACTCACGCACCGGTCCTCGCCGTGCAACACACACACACACACGTGTGTGGGAAACACTCGAGCTGGGAAACACACACACGTCGTGTGCTCACACTGGCGCAAGCACAGCCCCGAGCATCGCACTGGTGCACACGAACGAACTGCTGGGATTCCCCTTAGTGGAAGGATCCCATCAGGAGCAACACCAGCATAGGGAAGGTTTTGGGATGCTGAGTGGAACAGGGTGGATGATGTCCAGTGGTCGGAGCATCGGGAATACGAAGCTGGACATGCAGAGTTGCCTGCAGAGCTGTTTTGCAGCTGGTGCTTCTCCCCCTGCACCTGTCCCCAGGGAGGGCTGTCAGCCTGCAGGGACTGACTGTCAGGGCAGTGCCCGGCTGTGAGGAGACAGCCCGTGGTTAATAATGAGCATTTCCCAGCACACCCAGCAGCAAAAGCCGCACAGCCTTTGTTACACCCTTTCCACTGGTGTCCAGCTTTCAGACATCACGCCAGAGTTGGTCACATACAGTGAGAATCCTGGGACAGATGGTTTCAGGACAAGCCCCACCATCTCTGTGCTGGGTCAACCTTCCTTTGTCACCAGGTGTGGGGGCAACTGGGCCCGGCACTTCACAGGACATGGGTGGCTTGGGGAACAGGATCCCAGGGAGAGGCAACCATGACCTCTTTCCAAAAGTGTTTTTCGGGGAGAGCTTCATCTCTGCTGGGAAGCTCAGGACAGACAGAGGGATGACAGGGACAGGAGTCTGCCCCCAGTACCATCCCTGCCACCTCAAATGGCTCCTGTTGTGTCCCGAGGTACCTCAGAGGACTCACTCCAAAGCCCTGCTACCACAGACTGAGCTACATGGTCTTGTCTCTCCTGCCATCGGCCCGTGAGCCTGCCTCTTGGGACACACCTGCCTGGTTGTCACAAGCCCCGCTCCCTCGCAGCAGTAAGGCTGGCTGTGATTTCCAGCCCACAGCACGTGTCCAGGACACAGTCTCACCGCTGCAGCAGAGCAGGACACGTGTGGGGCATGGTGGGAGCGAGCTGACAGCCAAGCAAGGAGCCCTATGCTGGGTCCTGGCCCGAGGGATGGGGCAGTGGAGGAGATGCAGCCCTTGCAGTGGCGGAGGACGGCGGCAGTGAGCGCAGCAGCCTGCTTTTGTCACACTCTCCTTTGTCCCAGGCACGTGGCACCAAGCACAGGGAGCCACAGCCATCTGAAGAGCTGGGATGGGGATGGGTGAGCTGGAAGGGTGGCAGAGCCCCATCTCAGCTGCCAGGAGGGTTTTCCAGATGCAGTGGCGAGGGGCCACGTTGTGTGACTGTACCTCTGCCCTGCTCCCCAGCACAGGCGGGTGAACAGCTGGTTACAGCCTGTGGCAGCTCCTGCTTCCTTATCACACTGGGCAGATGGCTGTGGGCTGATGATGGTTGGAACTGCTGAGCTGCGGGACAGTGCAGGGTCCACAGTGTCACACAGCCCTGCTACAGCCACCCAGTGGGGCCACCTCCTGCCACCTCTCCAGGGATAAACACCCCATGCTTCCCAGCGAGACAGCCAGCTGCTCGTGTCCACATGATCCTGTCTGGCCTTGCCAGTTACAGGTTAGGCTGCCTTGAGCAGATCTCCCTGGCAGGTGGTTCCCCAGGCACCAGCAAATCCCACATCCAAGGGAAGTCTCTGTGTTCCCTGAAGTTTTCTATGGAGAAGCGGGACAGATCTCTGGTGCCACTGGCATTTCGGGTGCTCCTGGCAGACACAAATGGCTGGCCAGAGCCAGTGCCTGGAGCTGGGCTGGGAGGGGAAGCATCTGTTTTGCAGCACCGCGGGGTTCCCTAAATAGGTCACTGCGTTTTTATAGTCTCTTGGATCTAGAAAAACCAGTTGTTCCGGACAACCTGTGGACCCGCCAGCATCGTTGCAGCAGTGGCTCCCTGGGTGCTCCCCGCTGTGCCCCCAGGTCCTCACAGGGTGGGGGGGAGAAGGACACCTGCCCCACCACTGGTGTGAGCAGGGGAAGGGGTTGAGGGGCTCACAGCAGCCTGAGCTGTGCTGGAGGTCCTGTTCTATGCTGGGGATGACCCATCCCTGGCTGTGCCCAGTGTGGAGTCTGCAGGGTGGGCTTTCCCCCCACCCTGCCTCTGGCTCGGGGTGTCTGCCAGCTCCAGGCTTTGTGCTGGGGTGTTTTTCAGCCAGAGCCAGTGTTTTTCCTTCGCAAGGAGAGGCAGGTGCCTGTGTGGAGGGCAGAGGGGTGTGCAGTGCTGCACACCCACCGTGCACCCGCATGCGCCGGCGGTGTCCCAGCCTGCTCGAGCTGAGCTCTCCCTCTAGTGGCACCAGGCTCCTGACAAAGCCTCTATACACATGGGGTGGCAGGAGCCACAGTCAGGGCATGTCTGAGGGGTTGGAGTGAGCTGAAGGGCAAACTCCGACCTGATCCCCTCCATCAGCCCAGATGCCCATGGCAGGTGCACAGGGAGGACAGGCAGCTTCACAGGAGCATCCCACCACCAGCCCCCTGTTCTGGGGCAAGTGCAGGGGTCAGGTGGCCCTGCTCTTCCCATTCTCTGACCCCACATTTGCTGGGATGTGGCAGTACGATCAGCCAGTGCACCCCAGGAGCCAGCGTCAGGCCTTGGGGGTGCAGCCCCACAGCTCTGTGTCACAATGACCCCCGTCAGGGCGAAACCGTCCCCATGCCCGTCCTCATCCCACAGCAGCCAGCGAGGGGAAGGGCCCCTGCACGTCCCAGCTTTCCCCTTGGCATGGCGGTGCCCTGCCCGCAGGAGGGGTCCCGCAGGACCCTGCTGAGCCCCCCGAGGCCTGTCTGGTCGGGTGCCACCCCGCCGCGCTTCCCTGCAGGGTCCCCCGGGCCGGGCGCCAGGCCCACGCCGCAGGCAGCGCTGACGGGGCGCTTTGTTTTGTGCGGCCGCGGCTGCCCAGCGGGGAGACAAAAGGGGCAGTCAGACGCGGGCATTGTGCCGGCAGCCATGCGCTGAGGCAGCAGCCCGAGCCGCCACGCTCGCCTCGTGACCCCCGACGGCCCGGGCTGTGCCCGCCATGGCGCCCCGGGGCCCACGGGGCCTGCCCCACAGGAGCCCACACGGGAAGGGGCCGTGGGGGTGGTGGCTGTGGTCGCCGCAGGGATGAGGCCTCCCCAGACCTGTGGCAGGTGCCCAGGTGCAGGCCCATGGCGGTGGCAGTGCCGTGTGGAGCGCTGGGGCTCTGCGTGGCAGTGGGGACGTGTCTGCCAGGCCCACAGCAGCTCTCACCTCCAGCCCCCCCTTGCCCGCCATGGGAGGAGGGTGTTTGCACGGACACGGTGAACGGAACCCACCTTGGCTGGAGGAGCAAGGTGACTGTGCCTGGTAGACACCCAGCCGAGCCCACTACCCGCAGGGTCTCACGGGGAGGTGTCCCTGCTGTCCCCACGGTGCCAACTGGCGCCAGGGCCAGGCCAGCCCCCAGGCTCGCCCCGTGACGGCGCGGTGCATTGGCCCTGGAAAATGCCAGCGCGGTCAAATCGTTGAGTCATTTGTGACCAAGATTATCTGTGCAAACAGCCGCCCTGATTATTTTTTTTTTATTATTATCAAATTTTTTTCTTTTTTCCTAAGAATGTGGCTCAGACCATGGGGATGAGCAGCTGAAATCTCTGGGGATCAGCAGGACAATGCCAGAGCAAGCATTGTGCTGACGGCTCTGCAAACGCTGGCACCAGTTCCCGGCCAGCAGCACCCTATAAAAGCTGAGCCGCTGAAGTAGGCAAACATTACATGGGCGAAGCAGCAGTAACCGCCTGAGCTAGGTGAGTCCTGGGACCGATGCGCACCTCTCCCACCTCGCCCCTGCTCACCCCTCTGCTGCCAGCCGGCCGGGCAGACACCCTTCCTCCTGCCTGGTGGCAAAAGACACCCAGAGGGACCATTGCCGTTTCCCGTGGCATAAGACAGGCTCACACGTCCCCGCTGGCAGCCAGGGGGGCTGAGAGCCCCTCTACCGCAGGGCACCCCACTCCTGGCACCCACTGGCACGGCACACTGGTTGGCGTCTCCCACCATTAGCCTCAGCCGTCCATGGGAGCCCACCACGCCTCCCAAAGGAGGCAAGGCCGGGGCACCGGGCAGGGAGAGGGGAGCAGGCTGGTCTGCTGGACACCCTCAGGCACAGGGCAGCCTGTGTGCCCCCCACCACAGCTCCCGGCTCCGGCTCTGGGGTGTTTTTCCTAGCGATGGTCTGGCCGCAGGGAAGGAGAAAGGGGAATCGGGCACCGTGCCCCGGCGGGTGTGCAGGCTTTGAGCCGTGGTCAGGAGGAGGGAAGGGGCACCGCAGCGGTGAGAAGAGAGCACCCTGCTTTGGATGAGCCACACAGCCCTCCGCTGCGTCCCCTACCCCATCCTGTGGCCAGCAAGAGGGTTTCATTGTGACTGGTGTGGCTCACCCGCAGCAGTGGGGCGGCTGTCTTTGAACAGGCGCCACGGGTGGCGGGCACAGAGCCGTCCCCCAGCCTCGGGAGTGGGCAGCAGGGATGCACAGGGACGTGCTGCAGTAAAAATGGCTTTTTCTTCCTTCTGCAGACACCGATCCAGCAGCAAAGATGGCTCAGACAAACCCTCTGCCTGTCCCCATGGGCCCGTGGAAGGTACGTCCTCACAACTCCTGTATCTCGCCTTTCCCTGAGTGTAGGTGGGGGACAGGGAGAAGGGCAAAGCGTGTCCTCCGGGGCCAGGAAAGCTGCACAGCGGGCAGTGAGGCAGGGACAAGCACAGGAAACAGTCATTCCTGTCTTCTACCCATGAGAATGTGCCTCCTGCCTGTTCAAATGCCTCCCAGGTGTTTTTCATAGGGGTCTTCACAGCATCCTGGCCCAGCCACGCCCTGGTCTTACCAGCAGTCCCGTGCCAGGCAGTCACAGAGTCCCTGAAAGCCACAGGCTGTTGTTCACCCTCCCCTGTCCATGCAAGACAGGGTGAGCAGGGGCCATGGGCACTGTGGAGCAAGGTGGGGAGCAGCCCCAAAGGGGCAGTAGCTCCAGGGCCACAGGTCTAGGAGGCAGCTGAGAGGGAGAGGAGAAACACGTGCACGAGAGAGGCACATCCCGTCGAAGCCTGGAGCTGTCGCGGGAGATTCCATCAACCACAGCCCCCCGGGGAGGTCCCGCTCGCCCTTTCCCCCGTTAATCCTCTTTGCCCTAGAGCGTTCGGAGCAGAGGCCGGGAGAACCGCCAGCCACAGCCCTGCCACCCGCCCGTCCCAGAACGGCTCCGCTCCTCTCTCCGGACGGCACCGCTGCCCCGGGAACTGATCTCCGCAGGGGTGAGCAGGAGAGCGGAGCGGGGGCCAGCCTGCGGCTCCCCCAGCACCAAGGCAGGGCGTCGCGGGGCCAGCAGTGCAGGGACGCGGAGGCGTGTGCGGGGCTGTGTCCCAGCCCAGAGGGGTGCCCGGTGCAGCCTCCGCTGGCTCTCTCCCTGACGGAGCGTGACCCTCCGTCTCCAAGAGGTGCTGAATTGCCTGGGGCCGCTGCTGGGCAGTTTCCAACTCGGCAGCTCACTCTCCGTTCCAGATTACCGTGTATGACCAAGAAAACTTCCAGGGCAAGAGGATGGAGTTCACTTCGGCCTGTCCAAACATTATGGAATGTGGCTTCGACAACATCCGCTCCCTGAAGGTGGAATGTGGCGCGTGAGTACCCAGCTGCCAGAGGCAGGGATGCTTTCCCAGGCAGGCTGGCTGGGTGAGGGGTGCCCAAGCGTGGAGCAGGACCAGCTGTCCTCGCTCTGCTTGGCTGGAGCCAAGGACCACAGCCAGGGGAAACCAGGCATGGGGGGATCCCACCCTGCCAGTGTAGAGCAGCCAGCCCTGGGCAGCACTGACACAAAGAGAGGGCCAGAGAACAGTGAGAATGCCCTTGGCATCATCCAAAACTGCCTCCCACAGTGTTGGAGCAGCCAGGTTTGGAGCAGGGTTGCTGCCCAAGGATGCAGTGAGGGTCAGTGCTCAGCGAGTGTCAAGTGTCTCTTGAGCTCGGCCTGCTCCCCATCCTGCCTGTGTAATCCCGTGGAACACCAGCCCTAGAGAGCCACCTCTCTTGCCCTAGGGACCAGCCCTGCTCCACCCCAGGCTTTCCCTGCACCGCACAGCTACCCAGGGCCAGGGCAGAACCTTCCCACAGCCTCCCCGGTCCTGAGAGGGTTAGGGAGTGGAGTCAGGCTACTCCCTGCACACGGGAATCTTCCCTGGCACACACGAGGCATCTCCCGAGCAGCTCAGAAAGAGCGTGTGTCGGGATCGGTCCCCATAGCGAGCATCCCGCCGGGGCCGGGCAGCAGACGAGATAGATTTGTGCTGCTATATTTAGGATGTGTAATGCTAATGGGATTACAGTGGCGAGCGTGCTCACGCTGTAATCAGCTCGCTGCTCCAGTTGACGTGTTCCTAATCAGGCTGTTCACCTTGCACAGGGTGGGCTGACTGCAGGACACAGGTTTGGGGCTCAGTTTGGGTCAGTGGCAAGAAGCTCTTACCCCCCCCAGCTCAGTGTGCCCCTTGGCACCTTGCATACCCCATCAGCAGGGCCTCCATGGACTGCACAGCCTGTGGCACCCACTTTCCAGCCCCCAGCCCTGGCCTCCCTGCAGCTGTCTCGTCCCCAGTCTCCTTAAGGGGATGTTCCCAGATGTCCCCACCCTGGGGACAGGCAGGTGCCATGTGGGCAGCACCAGGGCTTGCAAAATGTGTCCTACAGGGTGGAGGCATCCCACTCACCTCTCCTTGTTTTCAGCGGAGAGGGGGACTCAGAGAGGGGAAAGGCCACAGCTCCCTGCCCTGCCCAGAGCCAGATGGGCGCTGCCTGCTTTGGGCATCAGGAATTCAGGTCTTTCCAGCCACATCAGGTTGTAATTGGGAAACAAGTAGGAAATTAGGCCTTCGGGAGAGAAGGGCAGTCAGGGCATCCTGAAGCAATGTTGGTTTGCATAGATAATGACAGAGCAGTTGGAGGAAGAGCTACCTGTGCGGATGGGCCCCTGGAGAGGGGACCCCGTCTCTCCCGCTGCAGCCGCGCTGGTGCCTCCCCAGCACCAGATGTGGTCACACACTCCCCAGGTTCTCTGCCCACATCCAGCACCGCTTCCTCTCCTCCCAACCCGTGTGCAGAGGCCAGCCTCCAACCTCCCCCTGGCACCTACATCCTGCCCCGGTGCCAGCTCCAAGCAGGAGGCCCCGAGTTGCCGCAGGAAGCCCTGGCAGCCCTCGCTCTGTTTTTGCAGCTGGGTCGGTTATGAACACACCGGTTTCTGCGGGCAGCAGTTCATCCTGGAGAGGGGAGAGTACCCACGCTGGGACGCCTGGAGTGGCAGCAACGCCTACCACATCGAGCGCCTGATGTCCTTCCGCCCCGTCTGCTCCGCCGTGAGTGTCCCGCCTCCCGCTCTGATCCCGCTAAAACGTCCCAGGCTACAGCAGTGAGATTACCAAGGGCAAACACAGCTATGCCAGGGGCAGGCTCAGCTCTTCTCCCCCGCTCCCAGCAGGATTTGCTCTTTCTGTCCTGTTTTTTAAAGTTTTTAAGGGAACTTCTGGGCCAGCTGTACATGAGCAGAGCTGGTGGGCAGCCAGCCTGAGACAGTAGTTGTGGCACAACTGTCTCCAGCATCTCCCACCCCCCAAAAAATAAAAGCTCAGCAAGGGTCTGAACGTCTCCCCCTCACCCCCCCGCTCTCCCTTCCTAGAATCACAAGGAGTCCAAGATCACCATTTTCGAGAAAGACAACTTCATTGGCCGCCAGTGGGAGATCAGTGACGACTACCCCTCGCTGCAGGCCATGGGCTGGGCCAACAACGAAGTGGGCTCCATGAAGATCCAGTGTGGGGCGTAAGTGATGGGCAAAGGACGGGGAGCAGCAGGGACAATCTGCTGCCATTGCTGTGCTGCCACACGAGGGGAAGGGGACACACCCTGTAACACCCCTGCTTACCTCTTGTCCTTTTCTTCCAGCTGGGTGTGCTACCAGTATCCTGGGTACCGTGGCTACCAGTACGTCCTGGAGGCTGACCACCACGGTGGAGATTACAAGCACTGGAGAGAGTGGGGTTCACACGCCCAGACCTCCCAGATCCAATCCATCAGGCGTGTCCAGCAGTAGCTTCCCACCTTCCATCTCTGCAAGGTTTCAAAAGCTCACCGGCTCCCTCTTGGTGCTAATACTCCCCTCCCGAAATAACCACCCCCTCTCGTACTGCCACTGCTTATGGAACAACACTCCCAGACGGTACCGACTGCCACAATTGCCAATAAATGTGACTGAAAGAAAAAGATAAACCATCTTGGTGTGTGTTTGCTCTTGGGTGTTTGGGGCTGAGGTTGCACATCCCCACGTGAGCAGGGACCAGACTCTTTCCTGCCTGTTTTAAGCAGGGCTGAAGCCCAGTGGGACTCACACCGAGGGAGGTTCATTGCTCCACTGTCTCACACACACAAACCCCTTGGTTGCTGCAGCTCTGCAGCCACTTGGCTTCCTTCCCTCTCCTACCCTTGACAGGGTAAAGGACATCTGGACCCCCACCCTGTAGAGCCATGCTGGCACCTGGCACGCATGTACTCAGAGCTCGTGGGCTCTGCAGCTGGCACTGCCAGGCCTCAGGGACCAAAACCCAAGCAGCATCCCTGGGGACAAGGGCTGCTCCCTGAAAACGTAAAGAAGAAAGTCACACTGACACCCACAAACTTTAAAATTTTTATTCAACAATTTACATCACTTATTGTCTGTCTTAACGTATTCGATCTACACAAATTTCTTTTTTTTTTTTCCTGATAAAATAATAAAATTTGGATAAATTTTGAAGACCTGTTGGTGCAGAATAAACAAAATTTCAGGTAAGTTTTTTTTTTCCTTTTTTTTTTTTTTTTTTTAAACATTTAGTGTGAAGTATGACATCATTGGTAAAGATACATCATGCCATTACAGCTCATGGACATTACCTATCCTTACAGTCCGTGACATCACCCACACCAGCGCAAGGGGCTGCGCCAGACACAGCTACAGCAGGTTTTACACTAACTCCTCTAGCCACCCTCTCACCACCAGGAAAACGCCTACGCTTTTCCAGCTGGGCACACAGAGTGCATTAACCTAATCAGAAATCACCGGGGAGGGGAGAAGGAAACAAAGACTACCTTTACCGATCCGTGTGGTCGCACACTACAACATCGACACCAAAGAGGGGCTGCCCCTCTCTGCAGGTCAGAGGTAAATTCAGCTTCTGAGCAGGTAGAGCACAACCCCTCGCAGCGATTTTAATACAAACCAGGAACAAAATGAGAACTTATCGGCGGGGAAGGGGGGGGCAGGAGAGGAGAGGCCCCAGCGGCTCCGCCTGCAGGGATCTCTCCGGCCCCAGCTCGCAGTCGAAGCCCGCGGTTGTTTCGCACCGCCCTTAACACTGAAATATTCAGGGAAGGGGGAGAGAGGGGCATCCATCCCCCCAGTAAACAAGTCGAGGACCTTCAGAGGCTGGGAAGCCGCTGAAGGTGTGTAAGTACACGTGTGATGGTAGATAGAAAAGCAGCCCTGTTCTGTATGAAAAAAAGCTGTCAAGTTAGTACAAATTTCTGCCACGGTGAAGGGAACAGGAGGAGAAAGCTGTCAGGGCCCTTCTCCCGTCACCAAATCCTGACTCTCCCGCACACAGGCTCTGGGCTAAGCAACATGTTTCCAAAGGTGGTACCTGCAACCCAATGCATGAAAACAAAACCAAAATAAAGCTCTCACTCCCGAGGCCCAAGGGAACCCACCCTTTGCTCCAGCCCTGCAGTGAGATAGTGAGGAAAGCTGTCCCTCCTGCCTCACAGTGGGAATACACAGCAGTAGGGTTCCTCTTGGTTTATTTTGTCATTAGAAGCCTCAAGTTTGCCCACACCCCCAGCCTGCAGCGCAGTGGACTGGTCTCCACTCCCTCCCCAAAGCTGCTTTGCGTGGGGCTGAGCCCCTCTCCCCGTCCCCATGGGGACACCGGCGGGTACCACACCACGCTCTCACCAGAAACAAAAAGGGCACTGGTTCATCCCACAGTACAAAGTGTATCTGAAACACAAGCCAGCACACCCCACTCCCTCCGATTCAATTCCTAAAGTAGGCTCTTTAAAATAAAAAAATAATATATATATTTATATAGCTATACAGAGAGATACAGAGAAAGCAAAGGAGAGAGAGAGAGAGAGAGGCTACTAAAAAAATCAAGAAGCGCCAGTTTTCTGCTACAGCTGTCAGCAAAGAACTGTCACCTTACATCATACCCTCCGAGATGGTGAAGAGAATGCAGGCAATGACAGCACAGGAATGCAAAAGAGGGCAGATAAGTCACTTCTGGTAATGAGACACAAATTAAAACTTTCAAAACATGTGCATAGCTTTATTCATCTGCTTCAAACTAACCTTTTCACGGAGCTTCAGCGAAACCCGAGTGTGCAAAATGCATTTCTAAAAAATAATGCAAGCAAGCTTTCACATTTACTGTGGCAGAAGTACAGAAAGACTCGGACAGAATCACACGCCGGGGCGGGAGATGGAGAACCCAGAATTGCACAGCTTGGAGTTGTGAGTCACTGACTGCAAACACAAGCATTTCAATTTTGCGAACTTTAAGCAAGCTGTGTTTACTTCTCCTTTACAGAAAAACTCAAAAACCCCACAGAAACAAGAGCCACAACCCGGCAGGGAATAAATCCCCTGGATAATGGGATCCTGGTGCCGCAGAGAGCCTGAACTCCAGGAAAGCCGGTTCCAGACCTTGGCTTGTTTTGGCTCTGCCGGCAAACCATGGCAATGCTGATTTTTGTCCACAAGAGAAGAGCGAAGCAGCTTCTCTTTCTCTCCCTCCCACTCCCCTCCAAAGTCACAGGTGCCACCCTACAGGACATTATCCCAAAACTTTAAGACAGCCACCAACACAGGCTGGAGTCCAGGTCTCGTTTTGATCCAAAGGGTCACTGGGACACTAAGAAACCTGTCGATGGGGCGCGGCCATCGTGCTGCCGGCGGGAGCCCGGCCCTCCCAGCCACGTCCCCCCAGCTCACACACCACCAAATCTCTTCAGAAAGACTAAGCACACATGCAAGGCACATTGAGTCAGATGTACACACACACATGGGTGTGTAAAAGAGCAAACGCTGGCCAAAAAAATAAAAAATCGATGCTGAACAAACTACTTAAAACAGGCAGAGAGCTCTGGCCTATGTATTTATAGACTATTTTCCAGGCAGTTGTAATCCCCAAGTGTTTTTCCTACACGACTTTAGACCTTCCTTGCTCTTCCCTCACTTTACAGAGAGGTCCTTTTATTTTCCTAAAGGATCTTCTATAAATAGTCAAGTAAGTTCCCTTTTTTTCCCCTCCAGTAAACTCCTCCCTCAGGGTACACATCCCCCGCCGTGGTGCAGGAGTGACCCATGCAAAGAAGAGGTTCTGGACCTGCCTGTGCCCCACAGCAGTGCCTTGATGCAGCGAGACCATCCCCCCACTACTCCCTAAGCCTTTCACCGACAGGTTTTGGCTGGGTGGATGGCTTCACTTTGCTTTTTTCTTGGAAAACATCCAATCCCAAGTGCTCTCCAGCAGCCGAGGGCAGCTGGAGAAGGAGTCAGGAGTGCAGAGGCCACGCAATCCTTAATACTGCTGGTTAACTTCACATTGAGATAAAGCATTCAAAAGATCTTTTCGTAGAGATGAGCAATTTCCTTCTAAAGATAAATTCAAACAGAAAACAAATATATTAAAACCGGAGGCGAGACAAGAGCTGACTGAGATTTTTCTACCTCACAAATTACTCAGGCACCTTTCCCGCACCACCAGCCACGGAGGAAGGAGAAGCTGAAAACCTCAGGGATTTGCACTACCCTTCCAATAGCAGCTTGAGAAAAGGAAGGAGAGGAGGGTGGGGGGGAAAAAAAAAATAAAATAACAAAAAAATAAAAATGCACAGTGTTCTCTCAAGTTAAAAGAGTTCTCCTTTGCTTGCGTTTGCATAGAAATTCCCGTAGGTCAGCACCAAGATCAGGTACACCCCTGTCCTACACCCCGGCTCCCCCAGCTCCCACGCTCCCCGCAGTTAGTGGCTGTGTCACAGGAGGGTTCAACTATCCGCAGAGGAACTACATGGTCATGGTAAAAACAAAAACAAAACAAAACAAAAAAAGAAAAACAAAAGTGCATCACACATTCTTGATTTTCAGGGTTATACTTATAGCAGCAGCAGCATTAATCCAAGACAATGAACAGTTGTAGGTTCGTTCTTAAAATGCAGCAACACTCAATGAAATGTCTTCAGGGAAGGGCATAAGAGGGTCCTTCTCAAAAGGATAAAAATGAAAATTAGACTATTCAATGTGGACAAAAAGGAGATACAACAAAAAATTAAAGACACAATCTTATTTACATTAAAAAAAAACCCCAAACATTCTTGTTAAAATATCTTTACAACACCTAAGCAAAAAAATATGTATTTTAAGAATAAAGCAGAAACTCCTAAAGCAGTATCCATTTTTGGAACCCTTATTTAGCACCTGAGGAAAGACCGTATGGAAAGCAGACAGGTTGGGGTTTTTTTGTTGGTTTTTTTTGTTTGTTTGTTTGTTTTTTTAAGAAAACGGTTAGTTGTGTTTTGCTAAACGTTCAGAAGTTCGCAGTACACAAATTTCATACCACAGAAAGAAATGAGCGAAATTTTTTTGTTGTTGTTTTGTTTTTAAAGATACTCTACTCATTAATAAGGCTGTAGAAAAGGGACACTGCTATCTGACAAAATGGCTTTAGAGCTCTGGACACGTTATATGAAGCTTTCTGATTAACAGTCAGGACAAATCCAGCTCAGCATCCCCCGGTGAGGGCACAGGCAGATCTCTTGCTCCTGTCCTGGGACAGGGAGCAGGCTCGTGCCCTGGACATGAGGCCACCACAGGGTTCTTGTATCTCCCCAGACATCCACGGCTCTGCAATGCCACTTTTGAGGATGTCTCAGGCAGGACAGAGGCAGTCAGCCTGATCCTTGGGTGTAACATGTACTGGGTAAACCTCTAAAGCTCTGCAATCCCTGGGAGGCAGCACATCCACAGTGCACACCAAAATCTCCTCCTTCCCACCAGCCCAGGTTCCTGCTTCCCAACTGCTTGCACTAGGGCTTTTCCACACGGAAAAATGCTCTGGTGGTGGCCAAAGCTAGAATTACTCTGCTTTTTCGGCTACTCCACCACACCAGCCCTTCTCCTGCCTTCCACACTGCTGAGAAAATGTGTAGCAGCTTTAAATTGGGTGGATCCTTGCTCTCTTCCCTCCTGACCTTGACCATCTCCCTTGTAAACAGCCTCTGTAAGGAAAACAAATCACAACGGATGGACGGAAGAAAAATCTTCTAGGGATGAGAGGATAAGACTACTGAAAGCTTGGGACACCACAGCAATTTACTGAAGATGCTGAATCAAGATCAAAAAACAATGCACAGGAAAACTACTGGCAGCTCTGAAACACGGCTGTGAATGCCATCGCTCCCAGATGTCCCTGAGGTCACCCACTGGCCACTTGGGAAAGGATGCGATGGTGCTATGGTAATGCTCTCTTGAAGGTGAAAGCACTAATTCCATGCACAACTGGGAGGACAACTTCCATCTCTCTTTCTTTCTTTCTTTCTTCCTAGAGGAAGCAATTTTCCTTTCCGTTTAGCTGGCTGGTTCACCCGTCATCGCTCCCAGCCACCAAACAGCCGGTGGACTTGACACCTAATGAGAAATGGGGTTTCTTTCCACATTTCAAAGAAGGTCACAGCAGCTACCAAAGACAAACAGTGGGATTTAATGGTTCTGAAAGGTCTGAAGTGGGTTAGTGGCAGAATTCATGCCCTGAACTACCCACTGGTCAAAGAGAAAAGAGATTTCTAACAGAGGATTGTGGTGGATTTAAACCAAAACCAAACTCCAACCTTGAAAGACAACACATTTCCAATCTACCAGACAGGTGAAGTGGGAGAGAGCAGAGGCTGAAGGCCCCAAACCACTGCCACCAGGAGCACAGAGCAGTTTTTAAATTACCTCTTGGAGCAGATGAAATGCTCCCTGATCCACCAAAGAGAAAGCAGATTCCAAGCTGGATCTGGCTGGCACTTCAGCCTCTGTTACACAAGACCCTGTATAAGAAATGCCCAGAAGAACCAGCGGGCAGAGAAGGAATGGTGGGGAATAACCAGAGGAGAAAGGAGACAGCCCCTGTCCTCACAGGAATCCTCACTCCAATAAACAGACAGCTTGGCAAGGAAACTGGAGGAAAGAGACTCACAACAAGAACAGAAATGAGAGAGAATCCTTAACCTGAATTAGTATCTTCATAGCTAATAAAAAAATAGGTCATGATCTCACCCTTAGTGCCACTTTCCAATACTACACATACTTAGGGGGTTTTAAAACTTACTTTACTCAGTGTAATGAAAACAATGGCACAAATAAATACACGCTCGCTCTCCTTACACATCAGATGCTCACACGCACCGCTGGCTCCTCGCCCCCGCAGACACCCTCGGGTGCAGACCCAGGACAGGAGGCTGCTGCTCCCCTTCCCAGGCTGTATTTGGTTTATGCTACAGTACTAATACTCTGAGTCAAACAAAAACAAAACATGAGACTTATCAGTAACACCTTATCGTTATTTCAATGTGCTAAATTAGTCACAGCTCGATTTCAGGTTTTTTTTTTTCCTTTTTTTTTTTTTTTTATAAGTTTACACAAAAATAATCAGAAAACAGATTAAATCTTAAGATATTTTTAATAAGTGCTCAGTTAAGAATTGTGTGAGGACTTGGGGAGGACTGCAGACAACGACAGGGCGAGTTACACGACAGCACGAGGAAGTTCCTTCCACGGTCCTGCCTGGCTCTAGGCAATAGTCTATCCCAGAAATCCTGGGGAGCCGGAGCTACAGGAGCTGAGAGAGGAATTCCTAACTGCTTAGCACTGAGCACACACCATGGAGCTCATGGAGACAGAAAGACAGACGTTTGAACAGAGGATGGTCAGAAATACAGCAGAGAAGGTGCTGCCGAGGGTGTTTTTGGATGGGTCCCGCTGGCGAGGGGCCACGCACAGCGAGGCAAAGCCACAGGGATGAGCATCAAGGATAAACCAAGCCAACCCATCTCTTGAACCATGTTTCTCTCAGCATTTCTTTTGCTATTTAAATGAAAGACTGGACTAGGCCAAGATGAGAGTCCTCCAATATTCAGCAAGACTCAGATCTTTTTAAAGGCGCAGGGTCCTCAGCACCAGTTAGTGCTGCTCAGCTCCTGCATCCCCCCGGCCCCCAGTGCAGATCTGGGATAGGGGTACAGGACAGCACAGACCCCAGGGAAGCAAAACAGGGTGTTTTTGTTATTTTTTTCTTTCTTTTTTTTCTTTTTTTTCTTTTTTTTTTTTAATGGAACCTAGCCCTTAAGGCGACAAGTGACTACACAAGGCAAATAAATACACAGCAGAGCCTTAAAGCCAGTAAAACAAACTGGAAACTTTGCTACTAGCCTTCAACTTTTTGAAAATAATAATAAAAAGGAAAAAGAACATTTCTTCCACCTTAATTTTCCCAGTTCCCCACCATCCAGTTTGTTCAACACTTTAAAGCTCAGGAATGCCCCAGCTCTTCGGCGGCAGAGCTGGAGGCAATTCCGACTTTTGGCAAGCAGTTGGGAGACTCAACAGAATTAAAAACAGGGATGTTGGAGGACTAGATGTCGGGCACATCTGTAAACATGTTATACATCTCAAAGTTACACACACCTGTAAAGGTGGTACAGTTTATAAGTGAAACAGAACTATTTGCGACTGGCCAACCACACATTTCTGAACCTGGACTGATACAATACATGATGACTATATAGTATCACACTCAGTATTATACTATATAGTGGTTGATACATCAAATGGAGTAGGCAATCCATAGTCAAACGTTTAAAACTAAGCGTGGCAGAAAGCTAACGTCTTACACAAGGTACAGAACTCAGTTTCATTGTCCCACCATGAACCCAAGTGTCTCATTCAGGAACAATCTTGTTAAAAGTATAAAAACAATTAAAAAAAAACACATGCTACATACTCCTAATTAACAAAACAAAACAAAAAAGCAGATCATAGAATCATCGAATATGCTGAGTTGGAAGGGACCCATCAGGACCAGTGAGTCCAACTCCTGGCCCTGCACAGGCCACTCCCAACAATCCCACCACGCGCCTGAAAGCGATGTCCAAATGTTTCCTGAACTCAGACAGGTTTGGTGCTGTGATCACATCCCTGGGGAGCCTGTTCCAGTGCTCAACCACCCTCTGGGTGAAAAACCTTTTCCTGATATCCAGCCTAAACCTCCCCTGACTCAGCTTCATGCCCTCTCCTCAGGTCCTGTCACTGGTAATGAGATCGGTATTTGCCCCTCTGCTGCCTCTTGTGAGGATATTGAAGACCACCATGAGGTTTTCCCTGTGTCCTCCAGGCTGAACAAGCCACCTCAGCTGCTCCTCATGTGGCTTCCCCTCCAGACCCTTCCCCATCCTCATAGCCTCCTTTGGACACTAACAGCTTAATATCTTTTTTTATTTTGGTGCCCAAAACTGTCCCCAGGACTCAAGGTGAGGCCACCCCAGGTCAGAGCAGAGCAGGACAATCCCCTCCCTCACGGGGCCGGTGATGCTGGGCCTGATGCCCCCCAGGACAAGGTTAACCCTCCTGGCTGCCAGGGCACTGCTGACTCATGGCCAACTGACCACGGACCAGGTGCTGCTTTCCAGCATCTCATTCCCCAATTTAGACACACATTCTGCCCCGTCCCAGGTGCAGAATTGAGCACTTGCCCTTGCTAAACTTCAAATGGTTGGTGGACTGCCCATCTCTCTGATCTACCCAGGTCTCTCTGCAGGGCCTCTGTGCCCTCAAGAGGTGACAGCTCCTCCCACTTTAGTGTGGTCAGCAAACTTACTTAGCATCCCTTCAAGTCCTGGTCCAGGTCGTTAATGAAGACTTTGGAGAGAGCTGGGCCAAGGATGGAGCCCTGAGGACCCCCCACTAGTGACCAGACACGAGCCTGATGGCTTGATGGATAAATCTAAGCACAAGGGGTATGCAAAAGTTTTGGGTTTATCTGCTTCCTGTAATGCCCCACAGGGTCCAGACTAATTTTAGGAGACACCAACTGCTGCTGACCTTGATAACCAGGAGCCAGGATTTGGCCACAGACACCCACGATGAGCACTGGGTGTGTGTGGAGCTGGGGTTGATCAGCAAATCCATTTCTGCTTTATTCACTTCTCACTCTTGCCCTGGACCCCGTGACCTTTCCGTCTTTAAAAAAAACCCCAGAAAAACTACCCGACCCCCAGATGATTTGGACACTCTACACAAGCTGCAATGGGACAGAGTCAGTTACACAGCTGGAGCCTGCACTCTGCTCAGCCTTCCCTACCACTGCTAGGAAGCCTTCCTTTCCCTGGGATTATTTTTTTTTTTATTATTTTTTAAATTATTATTTTCATTCCTAAGTCCTCCATTTTTTTGTAATAAAATATATTTTTATTAAGAGATAATTAGAAGCAGAGCCCGGAAATACACAGACTGCATTAAAATATAAAAGAGCATTTCCACGGGGCAGGAAGCCCAGCCGTTGGCGTTCTATGGACAAATTGAAAAGGATTCAAATTCCCATTTTTCTTTTTTTTTCTTTTTTTTTTTAAAACTTTTTCTTTTTTTTTTTTGTTATTTTTGAAATATTTTTTTTAAGAGAAAAAAATAATTCAAGAAGGATGAAAGTTAGCAGAACTCAATTCCTCTTCAGTTTTCCATTGAAAATGGGAAAAAAATCCAGCACATTTAGTGTTAGGAGACAGACAGAGCAAATATGAAGCACCTACAGTTGAAAGCAGAAGATACATTTTTTTTTGTCTTTTTTTTTTTTTTCTTGCTCCCAGTAATACAATGGCATTAAACTGTGGGAACAGTGGGGTGGTTTTTTTTTTGTTGGGTTTTTTTTTTTTTTTTTCCCCATATTAAATGCCTAAACAGATTGCTTATTTTTCCATGTTGTCTTTTAAAATGAAATAACTCTTCAGTTGCAATAGTCCAACGTGTAACAGGAGCCAGGTCAACTGTGTGACTTCACCATGCATCCTAGAACTGCAGTATTACCATCTTTCCCTCAGCAGAACGAGCTGTTTAAGACAATATGCCCCGCATAGGATTGCTGCTTTACTCCTGGCAAAACATGCGGATTATAATTCTCTGGAAAAAAAAAAGAAACTCTGCAAACTTCAAGGTGTTTCTCCAGCATTCAATGGAAAACAAACCAGGAAAAAAAAAAAAAAAAAAAAAAAGGAAACTAAATGGGGGAGGTGAAAGGGAAAGGGGAGATGAAGGATGGTGAATCATCCTGATTTCCCTGTGATTAGTGTGTCACTACAGTCACAGAACAAGAAACAGAAACCTTGTCAAGTGGAAATGCCTCTCCAGTGGGTTGCTGTTGCCCGTGTAGACGACAGCAGGAACTTTGAAACCGGGCTTGTAATTGAGTCTGTATTCCTTAATCACTTGCATTTCACTCTTTAAACAGAAACAAAACAAAAATGAAAAAAAAAAAAAAAAAAAATCTATTCAGTACCGGAGATTAAATAATCACGTGTGTAGTCTCGTTGAAATAAATTTTCAGATTCCTTAAGAAGTCTAATTACTTTCAGTTGCCATTTTTAAATAACTATATATATATTTGTATATATTATCCTGTGATTCTAGTTATGGTTCCTCTGCTGCACTGAAGATTTAGAAGGAGCATAAAAGCCTTTTTGTCCCCCACGAACAGCACAAATGCTGCAGAAAGGTTATAACAGGCAGTCTTGTCTTGCTACCTTCATTGACCCGGGCGATCCATGGCTTCATCATAAGTGATTATCCTTTTGGGATCTGGAAGGAAAGCAGAATTCTAAGTTTTTCACAAGCTGAAGATAAACACAAGAGATCTGCGTGGTACTTGTACCTTAACAGACTTTTCCTTTGGAACCCCCCTCCTGCCAATGCACCCTAAGCCCGGGCTGGCTCCCCCAGAGCAGCACACGAGTCTCCATATACAGCTCTTCCCACACAGAACCTCTTCTCAGGTGATTTGTGGTGATACACCAGAATAAAAGTTATTACTGGATGTGACACTCAGCACCAGAAATAGAAAGCAATTTTGTATACACACAGGGAAGAGTCATTAAATCTAATTCTCGTTTTATTGCTCTTGTAGAGACTGCGCTTCTCTCTGAACACCCTACCATTGTGGCACAGCTTACTGTCCTGACATTTAGTGATCTGAAACACAGATAAATCCAGACTGCAAACTGCAGGCACTGAAGAAGTGAACTCAGGCATCTCCAGACACAGAGACAATCCACTCTCATTCATCCCCCATCCCAACAGACAGAGCAGGACAGTGCAATCTGGTTTATTTATTCTTCCCAACACCCTTACCTTGCTTCTGCAAATTCCAAACCGCTTCCATTTCTGTGAGGGCAAAAGGAGAAGACCACTGTTATTATGCAGATTGATGTTGCCATTAGAGACAACTTTAAACACACTTTAATTTCCCAAGTGTGGCACAACACGGCTGTGGCTGTGCCGAGGCTTTCAGACAGAGCCCGCCCCATCCAGCCCAGCAGCACAGCCCCAGCCCATCCCGAATTTGACACAAGTAATCCAGCAACAAAAGGCAAAAGGATGGCTGTAACATGGTCTCAAGGGTCAGAGGGCCAAAGCTGAGCATCAGAAACGTCACCACCATTCTCCAGTCCTACAAATCACAATCTGACTTCAGGCTTTACTAACCCGACTCCAGCGCTGCTTCGCGTGTCACAGCCACAACAAGGAGCCTGAAGAGATGGTTTTTTACGAGTTGATGTTTAGTGTGTGTGAAACCAGAACCGCAGGACACGGCAAGTTTCACATGGCTCACAGTGTGCGTGTGCTGAAGCACACCAGGCAAGGACTGCTGTGCCAACATCACTGCAAAGCTGCTGCCAACACACCACCCGGGAGCAAGGTGTGATGCTCTCAGACACCCGGTTGCCTGCTTGGCCTGAGGTTCTTTCCTCAATGTACCTCTACAATATGTTTGCAGGCTGAATATAAATTCTCCCCAGTTCTCCCTCAAAAAGCACATGCTTTTGTTTACCTCAGAAATAAATGTTCTTTTCATCCACACTGAGAAACAGAAGGCTCTTCCCTTTAAAATGTCCCACAAATCAAGTCACACCTTTGGAGATCCATTCAAAATAACCTCATTTAGCCACTATGGAGATGGAATTTTGTGAGCTAGAATATTTATGAAGACACTAACTGTACCCTGCACCCAAATTTAAGAGACAAAATTTTTTTACAACAGGAGCATTTAGTAGGAACATGACCTGCAAGAACCACCTTTCAAGTCTCCCTTCTGCCACAAAGGAGGGTGACAGGACCTTGGTGGGGGTTGGAACAGAGAATAGCAAGGGATTATCAGGCTACACGGGATGTGCAGTAAAGCACAAAACAAGGCAATAAGTGAACTATCCAGCATGGGAAAGGAAGAAGAAAAAGCCCTACAAAACTCATGGCCTCAGCACGATGTGTGCCAAGTGTCACCTCCATCAATCGCGTCCCTTTTCCAACCCTTCATCTGTCCTTTGTCCCCCTACAATCTCCAGCTCCCCAGGGCAGGAAATTGCATGCAAATAAATATTGCCAGCCCTCCCTGCACAATTAAGCCTTTTGTAAGGAAGGCCCCGGCAAAATTTTACGAGGTCTGTTATTTTTGCGTCACGATAACAACAGCAACATTTTGCACTTTCATCGGGGGGGGGGAAAGCCTTAAGTGCTCTGGGAATAGTAGCCAGCCTCTAACACCCCCAGAGATATAAGCAGCCTGGCGAGGGACTGCCTCCCTCATCCGCCAGATGCAGATTCCCCCGAAGTAAAATGAACCAGCTACTAAAATTACCTCCCGCAGAGTGAGTTTTCCATTCAGCGCAGTTAGATGCATCATTTCCTAACAGCTAAAGAGCATCTCCTGTTTTAACAGCTTTCCCCAAAGGCTGGGGACAGAGAACTACTCTCTCGCTGGTTGCTCCACATTAGAGCAATGTTTGAGCATCAAATGCAAGGCAGAGCTGAAGCATTGCCCCACTACTGTATCCCATGTCCAGACCACACTTTCTTGTGCTGTTCATTTGGTTGTAGCTTCCCTGGACACCACAAGAATGTGAACTGCTTGTATTAAGACATGTCTGACAACAACAAGACAGACAGTGAGATACTATTAAGAACACACTAAAGAGTTTTAAGTTGTCAACATTCTGTTTAGATAAAAACCCTAACAAACCAACAGCTGAACTCCCCAACCTTTTCAGACTCCAATTTTCCTTCTTCAGAAAGAGAGGGTGTTGTAAAGTGTCCTGTAAATCCCAGACACCTGGACACACTGACTGGCAGATGCTCAGTCCTCATAAAGCTACAAACCCAAAGACCATGGGGAAACAATGCAGTAACAGCTCTTACTGAATGTCATCTGCCATCAGCAGAGCACAGGGACACAGGACAGATTAGGCTGAGTACACTGACCAACTGAGACAACTTCACAGAGAAAAAAAAAGACAGGCTAACTGCAATGCCAAACTAGGGAAAAAAAAAGGTTTTCTTCAACCTTAAAATGGAATTTAATGATTTATTCTGCTTTACTTGGTAATACACTAGCGTGAGTTTTCCTCCCAGTTCCAGGCTGTGGTCACCCACAACTGACACAAGGTGCTGTGACAAATGCCATGGCCACTGTCACAGAGTTTGGACCAGCCTGGTGGACAGGCAGCTCAGCAGAGCCACCACTGCCTGGGTCCAGCCAAGCAGAGCAGGGAGCTCAGGGATGCAGGGTGGAATAAAAGACAGTACCCATGAGCTGGGCATGCAAGAGGCCCTAAGCCTCCTTTCAGTCCTTCTTCCTTGGGCTCAAAGAGCTCTTTTCTTAAGCCTGCCTTCCCTGGATAAAGCTTTCAGAGCAGGTTTAAGCAAAGGACTCTTGCTCACCCTGCATGGGGAAAAGGCACCATCAGGCCAAGTCCACCTCTCTCAGATACTGACCCAAAACCCATTGCTGCCCTTTCCAAAGACCTGACCAACAGACAAGAGCCACCATTCCCCAAACAGGACATGTGGCCAGGGAAATGGCACACTTCTCTCTCAGTGGACTCCAACCCCTAGCTGGATAAAATGCCACCAACAAACCCTTGCACAATCCAGCATCAAAGCCAGCCCTGCTCCAAGCCAGGGGCAGAACTAGGTCACCTCCTGTACCCCTTCCAACCTCTGGTTTTCCAGGATTTTTTACAATTAGCTGGCCTCTCCATAGCCCTCTGGCTCAGGTTTGCTGAGGAACTGCCCGGGGCAGACAGCCCCAGTCACATCCACCTAAACCACTTTTTCTGGGGACTGTCACTGAAACAAAGGGGTGGTGGAGGAAGGCTTTGATGTCAGGAACAGACTAAGGCACACTCCAGTGAATTGTGCTGGGATTCCTCATAGGTCAATAAACTTTATAGCAGGACTGGTACATAATCTTGGAGGGGAAAAGAAGTGTTTCTGTGATAACTTGTTAAGACAGGCACTTTTACACACTTTGTCCTTGCTAGAGAGGCAGCCCTTGCAAACAGAAGTGCTTGCACAATGCCACAGAACTAGTTCTTTGTTCTTATAAATCTTACTATTGTCCCTAAAATAAAACACTAAAAAATAACAAAAAGGGACCATTCTCATCTGATTTTTCTGCTTCTACCTGCAGGACATAATGATTAAGTTAGGGGATTGCCCAGGAAATGAAGCAAAGACTAAAAATTCCATGTTGTGGAGACTCATGGCTGTACGGAATACGCTGTACTCATCCTGACAACTGGAAAGAGCAGACTCAAAGGAGAATTAAATCAGCTTTTGCCCCACAAGGCCATAAGCAACAGAGCGAGACCTAACCCCTTTCCACCAATGGGAATGGGAAACCAAGGCTCCTTTTTTTTTTTTCTCCCCCTCTCCTGATGTAAAGGATGAAAATTGCTGAATTCACAGCTCTGCTATTTCTTCTGACCCAGTTCACCATTCCGGTGAATGCCACTCCTGGCTGGCCCACGCTGCCTTGCTCTATTTTCCATGCTGCTCTTCTGCCTCTTCACGCGAGCAGAGATGCTGAGAAGGAACAAAGCAGCAGCACAGGCAGAAACTCGGGGGCAAGTCAGAAGAGGGAAACACTGCAGCTTCCTCTCCTCCACCCATGTGGTCTTTGCTGCTGTGCAGCTGAGCTGGAGGCCTCAATTATTTGCTTTTTAGCTCAGGACAAGCAAATTATTGAGCTTCCCACCACAAAGCTTGCCATCTAGAGCCCAGTGTCAGTGAGAGCCCGGCCTGGAAGACTGCAACTGCCCAAACGTGAGAGAATTCTGCACAGCTTTGACAATTATTCCGATACAAAGTGTTTCTTCCAGTTGTCTCTAAAAGAAGGAATAAAGCAGTAAGAAGGTGCTGGTTTCAACAAAAGTAAAGCTGAGATACAAGCAGCCTCCTCTTCTGAAGGACCAAAAGAATCTGCAAGGAACAGTTCTACCTCAAAAAGATAAGGATTTTGGCAATGCCACACCAAGGCAGAAGTTCAACTCTACCTTAGATAGGGACAACGAGATGCAAGCGAGAGCATCACTTCTTCCTGGTCCTCCTAGTCTGCCATACTAAGCTACTGTCCCTGTCTCCAAGCCACATCCACAGCAGACCCACCAAGTGCTCAGCTAAATCAGATCTCCCTTGGTAAATCAGATCTGTCACCTGCGAGCGTTTCAAGGCATCGTCACAAACACCGAGCGGCACGGGCTGTCAGTGAAGGCAGCCACATTGAGGGATCGTGTTTTACACTCAAGCAGATCAGATGATCAAGGGAGTCTTTCTGTCCTTTAAACAGAGAAAAAAAAAAAAAAAAAGAAAGGAGCAGGGGCACAAGGAAACCAACAGGAAAAGCTTCCAAGAGAACAAGAAGAGGGTGCACCATCAGCCTTGCCTGAGCATTCCCAGTGCTTTGACTTCTGGGGAAAAAGCAATCCAGACACATGCAAAGGAGCACGGGAATCTTCCACTAAGACCTCACCATGCTCTGCAACCACCAAGTCTCACACCCCAGCAGAGCCTTGCCAGCACCCAGGGTGCTGTGGTGGGGTAAATGGGATCCCTGCACCAGAACCAGTCCTCCCTGTGTGCTACCTCCTCCATCCATCTTTCCACAGGGGAGCTGTGAAGCAATTACAATCCATAATGTCCCGTGCAGTCACTGGGCAAACCACACACAGGAAAGCCTGGTTTGCTGGAACAAAGCTACCGAGTAAGCTGGAGGCTTTCCCATAGCCTATTTACAGTCCAGGATGAGGATCCACACAACCTGGTCACAGTTACAGGCACAAACAGTGCAGAAAAGGGTGTACATTTGTGACAGACAGGCCAAAGCACTCCTACCACTCACACTACAGCCCATTCCTCACTGCAGCATCCAGAGCTTTATCCTTGCACTAAACTACTGCACTTGGAGGAGCTCAGGGCAGGAACACACCAGTGCTCCACAACTCACTCCCGTCCTTGCCCCATGATCGTTTTACTTTGTGTTCATAACCCCAGGGGGAGGGCAGATGTGAAGATCAAACTATCGAGACTTTGCTCAAAAGCAAACAGATCAATCCAAGAGGGAGAAGTTCAACCTCCTCTCGAAATCAAAAAACCAAACAATGTGAGGACCCAACTGCCCAGGATGCCCTAACACCGACCCAGGTAAACCCAAGCCAGCTCGCAAAAAGCAACTGAGTGAAATTGTTCCTTTCCTACTGCAGGGGAACTGGTTGGCTCGGGAGTAGGACCTCAGGAAAACAGCCCAAGATAAAGGGAGCAAACGGTGTGGGAATTAACCCCCATTAACCACCGCACTGCTGTCCTGCACACACACCCTGGCAGCTCTGGGTTGGAGGCACTGCCCAGCACACTGTGGGCTCTGGCTGCAGGACCACAGCCATGAAGAGGGGACAGGAGGCACCATTCCTCCAAATGCTCCTTAACCCCACTCACCCCAAAAGTGAATGAAATGCAACACCCAACATGATCGCAGAAGTACTAAGACCTGGACCGATCTCCTGCTCTGTGAACCAGCAATCATTTGGAGACTAAATAGGAGAAAGACAAGCCTAAGCTCTTTGGAGCACCCCATCACCGCATTAAGGACAGCACTGGGTAGAAACATTCATCATCTTTTACCCCTAAGTAACACCTTGAAGATGGCACAGATACAGCGCAAAAAAGAAGTGGGCAGAGAGGGTGTTTGTTCTGGATGCTCAAAGCAAGATGCTTCAGAGCAACAGCTCTGGGAAGCTGCTCTTCTTCATATGCAGAAGAGCAGAGAACAGTATTTTAACGGGTGCTTCAGGTGGTCATTCTTGCCATTAAATGTAATTAACTGCTGTGTTTAGAAGAGCTAAACGCAGCCAGGCTTTGAAGTTAACACCTCCTTGAGAGGACATGGGAAGGGAGTGTTCTTTATTTTCCTGTTGTTCCTATTGTTTTACTGGGATCTGTCTTCCACAGCAAGCAAGAAAGGGAGAGCTGATCAGCCTTGCTGGCTGAATAGTTCCTTTTCTACAAGTTCAGGCTGACAAAAACAAAGAGACAAACCGAAGGGAGGGAATATTTGCAAACTTAAAATCACGTAGGATTTCTCTCCATGCTATGCTTTCTGGTACTCCCGTTTTCTGATAGGAAACTGGGATTTAGGCTGCAGACAGACAAGAATGAAAACAGAAAGCCTGCTTTAATGCTGGCAAAGACTGAGCTAAAGGAGAGGACCCAGATAAAATCAACTGATGAATGCTGTTCTCAAGAATACTAGAGCTTGAAATCTCAACATTGTAAGAGAGAGATGATCTGGAAGAAAATATTTGGAGTTGTGATTTTTAAATGACTGGGCTTGTTATTACTAAAGAAAGGCATCTGAGTTTGCAAACTGGTAATTTAAGAACTTTGTAGTGGGTCAAAACACAGCAAATTTGCCAAAGCCAGCCAAATACCAACCCTCTGCAGAGAGGAGGAAGGCATTATCCACATATGTATGTGGAACAGTAAACAAAAAAAAACCAGATTGTCACCTTATTCCCTTCAGAGGATGCAGGGAGAGGGAAGGGGATCGAATGAAAAAGGAACTGCCCCTGGGTTGGTCAGGGGTGGGTAAGTAACACTGTTCCAAAAGGGAACACACAACCAGGCTCCTGTTAACACCGAGCCAGCACCAGAAGCCAAGAGCTGCCACAAGACCTCAGAGCTTCTGGGGCTGAGGCTAAAGCAGAAAGCAAGCCATCCCACAGGCTTCCCTCTCTTCGTTCCCATTTTAAAGTGTCTGTATCATGTTTGAGTCATTTCCATCTCAAAAAAAAAAAAAAACCAGGGAAAAAAAAGAGCTGGACTACAAAGGACTCCATGAAAGCAATAAAATCACCTGAAAGATGTGGCCTACAAAGACAAGGAGAGAATTCAATCTGCAGCTTACAGAGGAGCTGATAAGAAAAGATTGGTCTTGCTGTTGCCGTAATATTCAAGAAGGGCAGGGGAAAAGTGTGTGTGGGTCAGGCTCAGAAAAATAAATCACACCTAAGGCTGCAGGAATAATTTTTTCTTCCTTCAAAGCCATGATTTCATGGTCTGATCTGCCCAAGGGAGAAGCTGCAACACTTTGGTGGTAGAGGTGTGAGCACAGACTATGAAGCTTTTTCAGTGACAGAATATCACCTGGTAAAGCTGGAACAGAGAGGGTGAACCTACACATTTAACTCCTTCCAATGCCGAGAGGCTTAGAAGGGCCTGCTCAGTATCATCACTATCAACATCACTCATGCTTGCCCACAGGAACAGGGAAACAAATACCCCTTAACATTAATTAAACAACGGTTTGAGTAGCGTCCCAAACCGTTATGGCCACGAGAGATATGCAAGCAAAAAAAAAGAAAAAAAAAAAAAAAAAAAAGCTCATTTTTAAAACAATCAGAATTGCTGGAAGGAATATATCATGTTAGAATATTGCACTTATAAAGATAGACGTACAAAAGAGAAAAAAAAAAAAAAAAAAGAAAAGAATGCCCTTAGGGAGCAAGTTAAGCCATTACCTTTAGTGTGATATAGAATAGCAGCCCTCAGGTCAAAAGAACCCCAGCTATCTTTCCTTTCTAGGCCTCTCTGGTACCTCTGTTCTTTGGCGGAGGATAGCAAATTGTTCGTAGGAGAGGCCAGAGGATTCTCTACTTCATAGTCTTTTGAAAGAAACACTAAAGCACCTTGGCTACCGGTGTCTGCCTTTTGTAGGTCACCTGTGTGATGCGACTCCAAAGCTAAGACACCACCCTCAACAGCAGTCCCAGGCTTAAGAATAGCACTAAGAATTTGAGGGCTAGTCCGTTTATCCAGCTCATAAGCCTTAGGAAACACAGGTTGTTCAGTTCCTGAGGGAGTGATTTCAGCACACTGTGAAACCAAAGTGGCAGGATATTCCCCTTGAAATGTCACTTCCATTAACTGATTATCCGCAGACTTGCCCACAACAGTTTCGGGTCCAGCGCTGGGCTCGTTTATGAAAGACAAGCCCCACTGATTCTGGAAGATATCTCCCAGGTTCTGCTGATTCGCCTGCGAAGGGAAATCGACCTGCGCTGCACCCAGGAGCACAGTTTGCATATTTGAAGGGTAGACAAAAAGGCCAGATTTCTTTTGTTCTAGAGCTGTCGAAGTTGTACTCATGTCCTGGGCTACTGACTCGGAGGAGGTCGATGGTACAGTACTAGCAGCAGTTGAGAGCAGTGGCTGGGTCCCTGGGGAATACACACTTCCATCGGTCCCCGCGAGGATCGGCCCGTTCGAGAAGCTGGCAGAGGTGACAGATTTCATAGCAGACATGGGGACCTGGGACAGTCGACTTGATGTTTGGGCCTGAGTTTCCCCGGCAGATGACGAAGATGATGAAGATGACGAAGTGGATGGGGTTTGAGCTGCTTTGTTGAGGTTTTCTTTAACTTTACTTGCATAACTAATTTTGGGAACAATTTTAGCACTGCTATTGTCCACTGGAAAAACTGGGGGCGGTTTAAATAAGGTCCATGAGTCCTCTTTAGACGTAGCCGACGATGCGTGCTTCCCTTTGGGCCGGTCATCAAACTTCTTGCTGCTAATCCCAGGTTTGGCATCAGAGTTTTTCCGGGGTACATCCCCGAGCCCAGGCTTTCCCCGGCCTGCTCCACCAGCCCCAGCCTCATATTTCCAAACGGGCTTAGTATTTTCAATTCGGTTCCCCTTTTGTTCACTATAATCGGGCTTGAAGCTCTCAAGTTCCTGTTTCAAGGTTGGTGCACTGACCTCCTGCTGCATTATTTTGTCCTGTACTAGATTCAAGTTCTCACAACCCTTGGCACTGTTGCGCCTGCCTTTCCGTTTTTTAGGCGTAGTATATCCGCTCTCGGAGCCACTGCCATCGTTATCGGCCCCTTTGCCTACGTAGCCATTGGTGATGTAGCTGGAATTATTGGTTACCACGCCGTTAGGAATAGACACTCCCTCTGGCTTGTCCGAGGACTGGCCTTCTCTAAGTTTATTTTCGTAAGACTTCTCATTCTTTTTGTCCATGCTATTTTTCTGAATGAAGTTCTTGGTTTTGATTCCAGCTTTCCCCAAAGCACCGGCCTTCACGGTCTGCTTTGGGGGGACATTAGAATCTACGAGCTGCTGGCTGCCATTGGGTACCCTGGATCCTGGGGCGGTGGCTTCATCAGAGCACAGGCCCTTCAGTGACACTTCTCTTTCTCCTGCGTTACCATTTAGCTCTCCGTAGCCTAGAAAAAAGCCAAAAAAAAAAAAAACAAAAGGGAAGAATTAGAATGTGAAACGTTAAACTCTTCGTTGCAGAAAGCTGTAATCAGCCCCAAACATATCCAGTTTCCTCAAGCAGACAGTTTAAAATAGGAAAACGTCTAGTCTCTGATGTACATCAGAATGAACTTCTTCGATGGAACCCATGACAAGAAGGGTTAAGCAGAAAGTACCAGCAGTGATTGACTCTCACAGAACTGGGTGACATACAGACAACATAACAAAGCAAAAGAAAATACAGATACTATTTCAGGAAAATACACTGTACTAAAGATGTCTGGCAGCCTGGAGAGCTATTTCATCAGCTACCATTTCCAGGTCACAGAAAGGAAAAAAATTAATTCCCAGGATGCTTCAAGACAGAGGGATCCACTGACAGGATCTGTGGAGGTTCAGAATCCACACTGTGAACAAGGGAGAACTCCTGCCATCTCCATCAGCTCTCGGGCCTGCAACACCAGCAGCCCTCATTCCCACCCTCATCCCAAATGCCAACTCAGTAAAGGGGAAGGGGAGAGAAAAATAAAAAAGAAGGATTTTAAAAGGGACATGTGCAAGTCCACTTGAAAGGTGGAGGGAGAGTGTGACTGCATTTTCTCTCTGCATTTCAAGATAGCAACCAACACCTCCCTACACGTGCTCTTCAGCATTGAAAAGGTGATAAAACTGGGAGGAAATGCATCCCTGAGAGAGCCCTTCTGCTGCTACCAGCAACTGGTCTCTTGTCCACTGAAAAACTGGTATTTCAGAGTCCCTGGAAGGGATGGTATGAGCTTGAGACCCAAGAAATAAAGTATTTGCTGAGGGCTCCAACTGATCATACCATGAGATTATACTGTACACTCAGCTTTCCTTTTTCCTTCTGAAATTCAGTTTTAGGCCTTATGGTTGCGAAATGAATCTTTGGAAGTGCAATTCAAGAGAAGCTGAAAGCTCAGGACAGTCCACACTGAACCACCTCACCTTCCTCTTCATTTGTTTCCTTTTTAAAAATCCCTGGCCAGAGGACTGTTGCTTTCGAGGACCCTGGCTACAACGCCCCAGGAGAATCCCTGGAGCCCCACTGGGAGACAGGGAGAGCACACTGTGCCCAGCTCAACAAATCCAGTCCAGCTGTGGACTGAGCAGAGGGATCCCTCCTACTGCACCCGCTCCTCCTCTGACTCATCCGTCCTCCTTCCCGAGGCTGGAAAGCCTTCCATCTCCTGCAACCACTGACCCACCTAAGGCTCCATCTGCAGCCACAGTGGCACAGAGTCAGCACAGCGAGGGAGTCCCTCAACAACAGGAGCAGGCAAGACTCCAGCTTGAAAAAGAATGTTTTTGTTGTTGCTGATGTTGTTGAAATTAACTGCTATAACTGAAAATCATTGTTACCCTCACATCCTGGAGCCTCAGATGTCTGGCAGATGTAACTGCTCAAGCTCTCTGCGAGTCTGGAACACAAGAATCCTTGTAGGAATCTTTACAAAAATTCCACAACTAAGTTTGCCGAAGGGGATCAAAAAGGATTTTACTACATGCAAGTATCTGTAACCACCACAACTTCCACTATAACTTTCTAATATGCTGTTAAAAGAAATTAACCATAAATAGTTCATCCCAGAGAGAACTGGTAGGGTGGGATTCTCAGCTGAGCCAGCAACTAAAAATTAAGCATTTCAGAATAATGTGGAGAGGAAGCCTTCTCAAGAGCAGCGTGTTACAGCTGACCTTGTATGACTCAAGACTTCTGACACCACTTGTTAATGAAACAAAACAATAAGAGTGGTCATAAGACCATTGCAGATGAGGAGCGAAAGAATAAAATGAAGAACAAAATCCATTTCAGTAAGTCAGTGTGTCAGCAGTTTCTAGTTCCAATTCTCAAGTATTCACAGCTCAGCTGCCTGAGTTTTCTCCAAATCAACATTTGGCACAGCTGGCCCTTGCCTGGACACTGAGGTGCAGCAACCAAAATTTAGGGAAGAGGAAAAAAACCAAACAGGATAGTAAGACGAACAGGTGAAGAGGATTTAGCAACCTCACAAACCATTTCGGAGCCGGGAAGGGAGGGGTGCCAGCCTAAGCGCATATTAAAACCCTGGGCACGCTGCAAACAGCGAAATGACTACTCAACTTATTTTTGCTCAGTAACTTATTTTAGCGGGTGCCGGATCAGGTCCCTCCCTGCATGCCCGGGCAGCACATGGGGCACTGCCGACCCTGCTCCGCTGCTGCCAGGCCCCCTCCCACCTCGTTATGTAAAAGGAAATTTCAAGGAAAAAAAAAAAAAAGCACGCGGTGTTCCTGCCGGGCTGGTGACCACGCACTGGCTCCGACCCCGCACAAGCCCCCCAAAATGGGGAGCCGGGGAGCCCCCCAGGAGCGCGGCGGGGGCTCCGGCCCTGCCCGGGAGCGGCCCCCCCTCCCCGCTGCCCGGCCACCGCCTGTGCGCCGCTGCCGCCCGGCCCGCGGGGCTCGGCCCGGCCCGGGAACCGCAGCCCTGGCCCCGGCGGGGAGGAGGCGGCCGAGGGCCCCGGGCCGGGCCGGGCCTCACCGCCTCCCGCCGCCGCCGGGCCGGGCCGCTCTGCCCGATGTGACTCATTGATCCTGGCGCTCATCAATCGCCGCCCGCCCCGCCCCCGCGGCCCCGGCCCCGGCGCGGCGGGAGAGCGGCCCGGCCCCACGTGCCGGCGGGCGGCGGTGCCGGCGGGCCCGCGGCTCCCGCAGCCCCAACATGGCGGACAGGAAGCGGCCCCAGCGCGGCGGAGAAGCTTCGAGCCGGGCCGGGGGAGGCGGCGGCGGCGGAGGAGGGGAAGGGGGGGGCCCCGCCGCCGCCCCGCGAAGGTCACAGGCCCCGTCCCGCTGCCCGCCCCGACCTGGTCTCCGCTTCGGCGCCTCCGTGTGCTGCGGGCCGCCGTGCTTGTGCTCGTGGCGGAGCGGCGGCTTGGGCTGGGCTCGGCCGTCGGGCGGCGGCAGGTAGGCGCTCTGCGGGTGGTGGTGGTGGTGGCCGTAGTAGTAGTAGTGGTGGTGGTGATGGTGGTGGTGGGGCTGCTCCTCCATGGGGGGCGGCTGGCGGGGCCGGGCCGGGCTGGGCGCTGGCTGCTGGGCCGTGCGGCTCCGGCGCGGGGACGCGGCTGGCGCGGGGGAGGCGGCGGACTGGCAGCGCCCGCCCTGCAATCAGCGAGCGGCGCCGCCGCGCCCGCCCCCCGCCCCGCCCCGCCGCGCCGCGGCCGGGGGAGAGCCGGCCCGGCCAGCGCGGACCCGCCCGGCCCGGCCGCCCCCCGCCCGGGGCCGCGGCAGGTGAGGCTCTCAGGGATGGGGTTGCTTCGAGGCGGCCGCGCTTCGCCCCCTCCCTGTGCGAGCGCGGCCAAGCCGGAGCGAGGGGCCGCGGCGGAGCTGCCTCTGTCCCTCGCCGCTGGGCCACCCCCGCGCCCCCCGGTGTTCCCTGAGCGCCGTGCGGCCCCGGGGGGGTTTCACCGCGGGGTCACCGGGAGGAGGACGGCCCGGGATGCAGCACAGCCGCGTTTTACCTACGCCGCGGCAGGCGGGGGAGGTTGGAACAGCCCCAGCCAGGGCCACGCGGAGGGGATCTGGGCAGGGATGTGAACACCGTGAGCTGCCGGGCTCCCGGCCGCGGGGAGCCGGAGCGGCAGCAGCAGCGCCCCGGAACGCCGCCGGGCTGAGCTGCAGCGCTCCCGCAGCAGCCGGAGCCCGCCTGGCTCCAGGGCTCCACCCGCAGCCGCCCGGGCGGACCAGCCGCTCCCCGGGCGTGCTGAGCACCCCCCCGGCGAGGGAAAGGTGGGCTCCAACAGATGCTCCCGCCCGCTTCCGAGAAGCACCGGAGGTTTTAGTGATGCTTAGCAAAAAAAACACAGGTTGTTGGGGAAGCCCGACAATGGAAGGGGATCTCATTTTTATACCAGATTTTATACCATTTCAAATCTCTGATTATCCCCGCTAAATGACCTGAATTATCCAGCTAAATGACCTGAACTTCTGCCCCTGCTCTGACCAGGCTCCACTGTAGGAGGGAAAGGTCAGCGAGACTTTCCCCTCCTACTGCTGCTCCAGGTTCCCTGCTCAACACCAAGGCCCAGTTCTGCACAGACAGCACGGTTTCAAAACAAACAGTTTCAAAACAAACATGGTTTGAATGCAGAGCAGCTAGGAACTGAGGCAGGAGTTAATTAGGAACACAGGAAAAGGCAGAGAGGATGGGGAGACCCGAGATTGACACAGGCTGGAGTTGGAGGCAGAATCTTGCTCCAAGTTATTCGCTGCTCTGGTGTGATTAATTACCTCCAAATACTCATGACAGTGTGCACTGCAGCAAACAGGGAGGGAAAGTGACAAAATCTGATCATGTAATTAAAGACTCTTATCATTAATGTACACAAAAAGAATAAGCAGGCTGCACAGATAATCTTCAAAATAGTATTGACTCGCTTGTCAGGGTTGTCCTTGCACCTTAATGCTCCACTGTATTTTTCAGTATTTTAATAAACAAAATTAATAAAATTCCTGTGTCTAGAAAGCCCTATCAGACTTTGGCACTGTACAAAGGATAGAGCCCTTGCCCAGAGATTTTACAGTTCCCAAGTTTTATTTCAACAGAACACAGTTGAAAGTTTATGCCTCAAACATAGCTTCCCACTCCACCCTCCTCTTTACTACACAGGAGGTAAAGTTTTTCCTACCAGAAATACCAACTTTTACATTAATACAGAGTTTTTTTCAAGACTCGAGGTGCCTGAAATATCACAAGTTCTGTGCCAAACCACTCCTGCAGTTTGCATTTCTTTCGGCACAATGCAAAGCAATTTAAAACTCGATAGAACCATTTAAGCAAGAAACCGTGAACTTTGGGCTTTACCCATGGTCTCAGGAATAACGGTCCTTTCAAATGCTGACTCATCGAGTGACCTCACAGTTCTTAGGAGACAAGTCTTAAAATGAGGAGTCAGGCTTTAATCACAGT